TCTATATCCCAGGCTATGTAAGGGTTTTGTTTTTGGGATTTATTTCTATGTAGGTACCTAACATAATTTCCGACACAATGTAATATTCTAAAGAAAATATAACTAGAAAAAATTCCACGCGGACCAGGCAGCAGACGGGACTCGAACCCGCACCCTTCGCAATCCGGGCGAATGCACTGACCAATTATGCTACCGCGGCCCTCACGGACCGCGTCGAAATTCTTTCTAGCTATTCTTAAGCTGCAAGGCAGCGCCATCTCTTCGCATTATAGGTAAACCCACAATGTCAAATGAATACTTTTACAAGTATTAAACATTTGAAAGAAGAAATAGCAATTATAGTTATAATTTTTATTATTTTTAAAGCATGTAACTGCTTGATGTTTAAATCTAAAGAAAATATAACTAGAAAAAATTCCACGCGGACCAGGCAGCAGACGGGACTCGAACCCGCACCCTTCGCAATCCGGGCGAATGCACTGACCAATTATGCTACCGCGGCCCTCACGGACCGCGTCGAAATTCTTTCTAGCTATTCTTAAGCTGCAAGGCAGCGCCATCTCTTCGCATTATAGGTAAACCCACAATGTCAAATGAATACTTTTACAAGTATTAAACATTTGAAAGAAGAAATAGCAATTATAGTTATAATTTTTATTATTTTTAAAGCATGTAACTGCTTGATGTTTAAATCTAAAGAAAATATAACTAGAAAAAATTCCACGCGGACCAGGCAGCAGACGGGACTCGAACCCGCACTCCGGGCGAATGCACTGACCAATTATGCTACCGCGGCCCTCACGGACCGCGTCGAAATTCTTTCTAGCTATTCTTAAGCTGCAAGGCAGCGCCATCTCTTCGCATTATAGGTAAACCCACAATGTCAAATGAATACTTTTACAAGTATTAAACATTTGAAAGAAGAAATAGCAATTATAGTTATAATTTTTATTATTTTTAAAGCATGTAACTGCTTGATGTTTAAATCTAAAGAAAATATAACTAGAAAAAATTCCACGCGGACCAGGCAGCAGACGGGACTCGAACCCGCACCCTTCGCAATCCGGGCGAATGCACTGACCAATTATGCTACCGCGGCCCTCACGGACCGCGTCGAAATTCTTTCTAGCTATTCTTAAGCTGCAAGGCAGCGCCATCTCTTCGCATTATAGGTAAACCCACAATGTCAAATGAATACTTTTACAAGTATTAAACATTTGAAAGAAGAAATAGCAATTATAGTTATAATTTTTATTATTTTTAAAGCATGTAACTGCTTGATGTTTAAATCTAAAGAAAATATAACTAGAAAAAATTCCACGCGGACCAGGCAGCAGACGGGACTCGAACCCGCACCCTTCGCAATCCGGGCGAATGCACTGACCAATTATGCTACCGCGGCCCTCACGGACCGCGTCGAAATTCTTTCTAGCTATTCTTAAGCTGCAAGGCAGCGCCATCTCTTCGCATTATGTTACATTGTGGGTTTACCTATAATGCGAAGAGATGGCGCTGCCTTGCAGCTTAAGAATAGCTAGAAAGAATTTCGACGCGGTCCGTGAGGGCCGCGGTAGCATAATTGGTCAGTGCATTCGCCCGGATTGCGAAGGGTGCGGGTTCGAGTCCCGTCTGCTGCCTGGTCCGCGTGGAATTTTTTCTAGTTATATTTTCTTTAGATTTAAACATCAAGCAGTTACATGCTTTAAAAATAATAAAAATTATAACTATAATTGCTATTTCTTCTTTCAAATGTTTAATACTTGTAAAAGTATTCATTTGACATTGTGGGTTTACCTATAATGCGAAGAGATGGCGCTGCCTTGCAGCTTAAGAATAGCTAGAAAGAATTTCGACGCGGTCCGTGAGGGCCGCGGTAGCATAATTGGTCAGTGCATTCGCCCGGATTGCGAAGGGTGCGGGTTCGAGTCCCGTCTGCTGCCTGGTCCGCGTGGAATTTTTTCTAGTTATATTTTCTTTAGATTTAAACATCAAGCAGTTACATGCTTTAAAAATAATAAAAATTATAACTATAATTGCTATTTCTTCTTTCAAATGTTTAATACTTGTAAAAGTATTCATTTGACATTGTGGGTTTACCTATAATGCGAAGATATGGCGCTGCCTTGCAGCTTAAGAATAGCTAGAAAGAATTTCGACGCGGTCCGTGAGGGCCGCGGTAGCATAATTGGTCAGTGCATTCGCCCGGATTGCGAAGGGTGCGGGTTCGAGTCCCGTCTGCTGCCTGGTCCGCGTGGAATTTTTTCTAGTTATATTTTCTTTAGATTTAAACATCAAGCAGTTACATGCTTTAAAAATAATAAAAATTATAACAATGTAATATTGTTTTTTGGAATAAATTACTAATGACTATGTTCTTTTGCCACCATGAACATTTTGTTCCGGTTTGACATCTAAAAGAAACATACGTAGCTTCAACTGCATAAACGTTATACATTATTCCATCAGACCAAATAAAAAGTAGTTTTTATTTGGTCTGAGATTATTACATAGACAGAGATGGTTTTAAAGACTAAAGTAACAGTGGGTATTGTATGGACAAACCTGTCGGCTGTTGAAGCTTTTTATGATTATTTTTGAGACGTGTTTCATGTTTAGGCATTGTTAATGTATGAACTGACAAGACCATAATGAAGGTCACTTGAACAGCAGCGTCACTTTCGACGTAACGAGAACTAAAAATCAGTACACATTTGACAATGAAATTTCGGACTCGCAAACGATTCGAATTCGATATTGGTTCGTGCTAGGGGTACTGAGCTCAAATCGTAATTTTGAACTTTCGAAGCCGATCAAGATAGTCTACTCTATGGGTGTATTCCGAAATATACATCAGTATACTAGCCAGTGCTAAATTGTTGTACTGGTATGCTACCATATCTGTTGTGGATCGTTTCTCATGCGAAGTAATGTTCTCCTAAATAAAACGTAGGCCCTTTTAGGCGCTATTTTAATTAAAAAACAATTTAAGAGAAATACGTTTATTACTTCTAACGAAAATTATAATAATCAATCAATCACTAGTAAAGTACAAATAAAGTTTCGTGCATTAACCCGTAAAAACTAGTTTTATTTAATGAGTGATGTGCGTGAAAACCTAAGAAACAAATACAATCAATCACTGTCAAAAATTCGAAATGTGAAAAATTAATATATGCCATAAACTTGTAATTACAAAGAGGTTGGTATCGGCAACAATATCTTTACCGGGAAAACGAATATGACGTATGACCGAGCGTGCGTGAAAAGCATCCAAATTATATTTCTTTTTTATTTAAAGAACATTATCGGAATCCGAACAAAAATAATTCCTTTTAATTGATGAGGTGAATAAAAATCTTCTTTATTCGCACTGTTTTTAATATTTCGTCGATTTATGACATCAGTGCACTGGTCAGTATATTTCGGAACAATTCCCCAGTATAGCGTCGATTTATGGCGTCATTTGCACTGGCCAGTATACTGGCATATATTACGGAATACATCCAGGGTGTGCCGGATGCCGTTATTGTTCTTTAAATAAAAAAAAATGGATGCGTGTAACTTATGTACGCGCGTGAAAATTAAAATAAATATTCAATTAAAATCACTACTGAATTTAAGTTATTAGTCCATATGTAATTAGCACTTGTAAGTAACTAAAACACGTTGTGTCTATATAGAAACTAGAAACATGTGGATAAATATTATAAATATGAAAACAGTGATCAGAGGCGACGAGCGTGGCAACATTGTTTTTGACAACGCGATCATCTTATGGAGCTCCGTGGATCGTTCAAAGTACCTTTCGAACAGATGTCTAATAATGGTGGTTATTTTTGTAACACCATAGTATTAAATATCATCACGCCGCCCGTTACTAGATGGCGCTGTACGCATGTGAATCGCGCTATCCTATACGACACCGATTGTATGGCAAATCATAGGATCAAATATCATCACACCGACCGCTACTAGATGGCGCTGTACGCATGTGAATCGTGCTATACCATACTGACACCACTTGTATAAGGTGTTCTTGGGAAATTGACCAAGTCATCGCTTTGTAGGTAGGGCCTATTGTCTTGCACGCTATACGCTTCCACCACGTGGGACGTCTTAGTGTCTTGATAATAGTATACATTTACTTCCATCCTTGTGGGATACAGTAATACCATTTCTCCTACAAATATTGAATAGTAATCACAATATAAGTATTTTCTACCTACGCCTATCTTTATTTGACGTCAGTCTTCTCACACTCCCCCTTCGCCCTCCCGCACATTCTTACAGTTTTATTAAATAATAAATATGAAAACAGTGATCAGAGGCGACGAGCGTCCCAACATGTGCGACTAAGAGATGCTATTACTATTTTGTTGGAAGCTTGTTTTCGAGACTTACGAGTAATGTGCGGTTTAGCGGCCGACTTCATGGTGTTATTTTTCTGTTACAGTGTTGCGCGCGCATCTTAAAATTTCAATCTCATCATTTTTTCATAACGCGCCCGCGGCTAACTTCATTATGTTACTTTTGTGTTACAGTGATGCGCGCGCATCTTAAAATTTCACTCTCATAATTTTTCGAAAGAAGAAGTATAACTTCAAAAAGAAATATAATTTGGATGCTTTTCACGCACGCTCCGCCATACGTCATATTCGTTTTCCCGATAAAAATATGGTAGCATACCAGTACAATATGGCGTCCGATTTGTTACGTCATTACCAATGGCCAGTATACTTTCGGAATACACTCCCTATATCACTTCTTGCAACTTTATTCTGTGGTCTGCTCGGATGCGCTCCAAACCTATGCTCCAAATACATCTTTATACTCTGACGTTTAAATTAAGACATAAAATGTATGAAACTGATATTAAATTTGACATTTGTTGCTCCAGGAGTGTAGCTACGAACATGTCCCTGTGTCTTTAGACAAAATTCCTGTAATCTGTGGTCTGCTGCGATGCTTTCTCTTATTAGTCTGTGGATGCTATGCGACGTTTCTCTTTTCAGGCCAACTCATCGGTCTTTTTGACATAAAATGAATAAAATTGGTTTTGTAATGTTATGAATTCTATTAATTTGTTATTGTTTAAGTAATAGTAATACTAATAAAATGGATACTTACGCTTTGCTACTGTTGCTTAGTGTTTTTTGGCATTACACTGATGCGATTATGTGGAGTTTAGCTCCTAACACCCAGAAATGTTTGAAGGAAGAATTACATGCTCATGTGCTAGTAGCTGGAGAATACGAAGTTACCGAAGTCCCTGGACAGAGAGTGGATTACATTGTAAGTCACGACATAAGTTGTAAGATTTATTTCTATTTCATTTTTGTTAAATAAACTTTCGGCGCCGCCGGCACCGCAAGGTCTTAGGGTTTTGCTCAAGTGGCTTAATATGCAGCACACGGTACAAAACGACAATACATTTATCAACATGTAATTTTTTAACAATACCTACTCCTACAATACTTTTTTTTTTACGCAGATTCGTGATTCTAAAGGAAACATTCTGTCACAGAAAGACACCGTAAATAAAGGCAAATTCACATTTGTCACAGAAATTTATGATACATTTGAAGTGTGTTTCATTTCCAAAGTACCACCAGGTAATGTTTTGTAGTAATGTAATAAGTAAGTGTAAGAGGAGCTCAAGTGGTTAGCACGTTCGGCTGCAATCGTTGAAGTTAAGCAACTTTCGCAGTGGTTGGTCATTGGATGGGTGACCAAAAATTTACTATCTCAAGCTCCTCCGTGCTTTGGAAGGCACGTTAAGCAGTTGGTCCCGGCTGTCTACTGGGCCCGCGTGGTGGGTCATTGCCCAATCTCCCTATTCCATCCATAGGGAAGGCCTGTGCCCCAGCAGTGGGAACATTAATAAGCTGATGATGATGATGATGATGAATGTAATAAGTTAGAAAGCTCTGTTTACATACAATATCAGGGGGGCATTCGCCTAACGGAAATGCTTTGGAAAACGCTAACGCTTTTATTTTGTTATTTCTGATCGCCGAAGGTTTTCAAATACCTTACGCTCATTTTTTCTAATATTTTTATTACCAATGCAAAAGAAAAAAAAGAGCACGAGGCATTTGAAAACCTCAGGCGGCTAGAAATAACAAAATAAAACCGTAAGCGTTAGCATTTTCCAAAGCATTTCTGTTAGGCGAATGGCCCCCAGGAAATGATAAAAAATAAATCTTTTATTTACTGCAATAAAGTATGAAACTACTTTTATTTAGTATGATATCTATATTTACAGAACGCCGTGGCATCAGTCATGATGTAACCCTTGACATCAAAGTTGGAATTGAGGCTAAGAATTATGAAGGGGTAAGTGGATTTACAAAAATCTTGCGTTATTAAGAAGAAGACTCACTTGTTGAGAAGTTAAACAATTTTTTTCAGGTAGATCATTTAAATGCTTCAAAATTAATAACAATATTGTAATTTGCCGAAGGTTCCAAAGTCATTATCTTAAGTATATTATTTATTGATAAAACTACTGCCTGGGCCCAAAAGGTGATATTTGACATTTTTTGTAGAAAACGTCTCTATTATTTTTTTTATTTTTGGCACTTCGCTGGCCATTGGTCACAACACTAACCTAACCTAATGTGAAGTATCATCTCTTGAGCCCAGGAAGTACTTATACAGAAGTATTTATTTTATATTATGCTTTTTCCCTATTACTGTCTGCTAATTTATATTTTCTTCATTATCGGTGGTCATCTACAACAATCTTGCAATCTGCTAGAACTCTTGGGTAACAAGCACAGTTTTACAGTTTGTAACCTTGTTATATTGTTGATCCTATAACACTATCCCTTTTATTGTGTGAACATATTTACAATTTGTGATAATTTACTAATGGGAATAGGATATTGCTTAATAATAAAGCAATAAATATTCACACAGTTTACAGGTGTACTTAATCGGAACAAAAACTTTAAGTTAATTACAGATGGAGTAATTATAATTAACCATAACAATTAATCTGTCACTTTGAGTCCGAAAACCTAATTCGTTTTTTTTGAGAATTTCTATAAAGTTGCTTTTCACTAACAATAAAAGTGTACTGCTCTGTGAAACACTTAAAATTGCTGGTTTAAGACCCAAGGAGATGGCCAATGGATTGTAAAACAGACTTAGTCAGTACGTAAAAAAAAAGGCAATTTAGTTTAAAAAAGTCTCAAGTTATATGATAGCTTTCAAGAAAATATTTACAAAATGTTTAAACATAATCTTTAAAAATATTTAATGCTATGAACTGATGTCAACCAAAAGTATGTTAAACTTTGGTTTAAAAATTGATTTACCTCCATACACCATATCATGGTCAACGTCATATCTTTATCAGTAGCACCATACAGAAATTTAATTTTTATAATTCATACCCTATTTGTATGGCTTTTTCAGTGTTTAAAGTGGTTATGTCCATTTTTATTTCACAAAATTACCACGTTTTACAGTATAAAATACAAATGTAAAATCTCAATAACTTTTTGTATCTGTTTTGACATAACAGACAGATAACATGGGCCATGCTACTCTAGCACCTCTGTGCCATTCTACTCTAGCACCTCTGTGTACATTAAATCACGTTTTTTATCACATCTAACTGTCAAACTCCATAGTAATTTGACAATTAAGCGTAATAAAAACGTGTTATATATCATATCATGCTCATGCTAGGGGGTGGTGGTGAGAATTGTCGGTTTTATTTCCCATTAGCTATATCAGTCAGTAACTTTTGTGAAAAAAGTTCTTGTTTTTATGCATGGTATTGTCATTGTTCTGATACTCAAACACTAATATTGTTATGTGGCTGAATGACAACACAGAAAACTAAAAATATAATTTACAAAAATGCTTTTTTGTCCTGTTTGAAACCAATTTAATCATTTAAGAATAAATAAATTTTGAAAGCAACTTTCGCTGTGGTCGGTCATTGGATGGGTGACCAAAAATTTACTATCTCGAGCTCCTCCGTGCTTCGGAAGGCACGTTAAGCCGTTGGTCCCGGCTGCATTTGCAGTCGTTAGCACCCACCAATCCGCACTGGGCCCGCGTGGTGGGTCATGGCCCAATCTCCCTATTCCATCCATAGGGAAGGCCTGTGCCCCAGCAGTGGGGACATTAATAGGCTGATGATGATGATGATGATGAAATTTTGAAATCATTTATTCGTAATGATGGTACTTTTGAGTAAAAATAGGTATTACTATGTTTTTTCATTACATTTGTTTTGTATCAGACTGTATAAAATTAATAAATATTATGGTAACCCACAGATTGCAGAAGCAGCAAAGTTGAAACCTATGGAACTTGAACTTAAGAGACTGGAAGATTTATCAGAGGCTATAGTCCAAGATTTCACTCTGATGAGGAAAAGAGAAGAAGAAATGAGGGACACTAATGGTAAATATTAAACTATAGAAGGTTCCACTTCCACAACTAAACTACAATATAAGAAATTACTCACACAGTAGAGCTATGCAGTTTTCTTTTCCAATATTACATTTAAGATTATTGATTATAAGGCGTTGCGCTTATTTCCATTTTACGATATAAAGGAGATTGCTCAGCTTCCATACATGTTTGGCCTAAAGACCAATAATCATGAAAATTTGTTTCCTAGATTCGAAATTATATATAAATTACTGTAGAAACGAATATTAATGACGGACACCCCTGAGAACTTCTATAAACTATATACACTGAACATATTAAAATAATAAAAAACAAATAAGTTAATAGTAAACTAGGGAAATCAAGCCAAGTACCGAAATTATGGATTAGATTCAGGTATATGGAGCATGTAGATTAACAGATAGTTGCCTGTTTTTAAAGTTAATGCATAAGAGTAACTTTTAAAATCAGGTGTCATTTCCGGTTATAATAAGGTAGGTACTCTGTGACAGAAACTGTGTGATGATTGTGAATGAGCCACAGATTAGAGAAAATTTTTAAACTCTTGTTAACCAAATAAAGCTAAGAGACATAGGTTCTATAGCCATATGTTCAGTAGCTTCATTATTTTTGTTATGTTTTTAAGATAACCATATTTTAGATTTTTAGTGTATCACACCTTATAATTTTATTTATTTATTTATTTATAGTCAGGGAACGTAGGCCCATAGATAGATACCTTAAAGTCTAACATATATACAGATTATAATGTGTTTATGGAGGTGTTTGGTGAAAATTGTATGGCAATAGACTTTATACAATACAATACAATACACAATTCTTTATTGAAAACACCACAGTATAGTACATAAATGGGGTAAATACATTATGTTTAAACATAGTGATTCAATGGGCGGTCTTATCGCTAAAAGCGATTTCTTCCAGACAACCTTTGGATGGAGAGGATTGAAAGAAACTGGAATCGGTGGTGTTATAAAAAAAAATAAAAATAAAAACAAGGGATATAAAAATGTATATAACTATATATTTTAAATATATGTACATACCATACATACATAATATATACACATAATATAACTATAAGATATATACATATAATACAAATATATGACACATACATACATAGACTACACATATATAAGTTTAGTCCAGTCAGAAAAAAAAATATTAAAAATAAAAATGCATAATTATAATTTTTTATTATTTTTAAAGCATGTAACTGCTTCTTCTTCTTTAGAAATAAAAATGCAGTTACATCGACAAATAATGGTTGAAAACAAGATTTTTGAAAATATAAATAGATTGTGCTCGTCTTATGGTTACTGGAAGAGAATTCCACAGGCGAACAGCTTGGACGGCAAAAGAACGACCATAGAAGGTTGTGTCATGAGTAGGAATTTTTAGGGTTAAATTTTCTGATGACCTAAGAGATAACGCGTTTGAGCTATGAAGGTAATTGAAGCATTCCTTGAGATAGGGCGGGGACAAAGGATTGAACAATATATTGTAGAGAAGTGTGAGGATGTGAGTATTCCGGCGAAGTCGAATTGGTAGCCACTTGAGCTGTGATCGAAATTGTGACACATGATCATATTTGCGTAAGCTAAATATGAAACGAATACAGAAATTTTGAAGTCGCTCAAGCTTATTAAGCTGGTCTTCCGTGAGATCAAGATAGCAGGCGTCAGCGTAATCAAGAATAGGAAGCAGCAGAGACTGTGCTAGGGAAATTTTGGTGGCAGTAGGGAGGAAATTGCGGAGTCTCTTCAGCGAGGCTGCCGAAGCAAACAGTTTTCGGCTAACAGCTTGTAACTGTGGACCCCAGCTCAAGCAATTATCGACAGTTAATCCTAAATTTTGAACTGAAACTTTGAATGGTATATTGGTGCCAGCAAGAGTTATGGTAGGAAGTAATTGCCAGTTCACTCTGGCAACTTTATGATGTCGCCTACCATCTATAATAATTGTCTAAGCACATTTGCATCTAGTGAAAATGATAATATAGTTGTGGATGTTATTGATACAGTGTAATAAAAAAATGATTTATTTTAATCGATCTTTACATAATAGATTTGTTTTTATGTTATATAAACAACTTCGATCAGTCTTTGGCTGAATGTTACTACACCCATAGCCATTAAAAATGATTCGTATGTTTTCCAAACCGGTAAAATTAAAAGTCCTTTTTAAAGTAAATATATTATACAAAGGTGTCCGTTGAAATCTAATGACTGTAAATTAAATTATAAATTACGCCAAGAATTACCGTGTATGACAATATTTTTTGTGCATTTAGGCCAATTTGAGCAATCTCCTTTAACCACTTTAACTGTATTTTAAAATTTATGTTAACTGAATACTTTTAAATATTAAAGGTAACCTACTTACATAATAAATAAAATATATATGATTTACTATTAGTTACAATTTCATTCTTTTAAATATTATCAACTTAACTATTAATTTTACATTTTATACTCATTACCAAGTATATATAAATCGTGTTTATATATACATAATGATTGTCAAATCACCACTACTTGAGACTACTGGGCCTAGGGTTTTCCGCACCAGCTATGGCCAGAAAGGTAAATTTAACTACTGCAGATCACACACAATTACATTTCTGAATTTTTATTGTGTTATTTTATGTAATATTTGAAATTATGACAAATTTTGTGCCATCTGTTGCGGTTGCATTAAAACATTTATACCTACATTTTATTTATGGTGCATCCCTTAAAAATGTAAATTGACCTTTTATGTGTCCAGTATTCTACCTTTAAGATGAAAGTCTTCCACGGTAGAGGTTTCTGACTGCATCGACTTTTGAATGTGTTTACAGAATCGACTTAACTATTAATATTAATAATAAGGCAGTTTCTTTTGTCATTTACTTTCAGAGTCGACCAACAACCGAGTCCTATTCTTCAGCATATTCTCAATGGTCTGTCTTCTTGGGCTGGCCACTTGGCAAGTACTATACCTACGCCGGTACTTCAAGGCCAAGAAACTTATTGAATAGCACCTTAAATAAGTAGGTCCGTGGATAAAGTTACATTGTGTCTCACGCATGAATATATTTTATAAATATATGTACATATAGTTACATTATGATTCATAATTGAAATCATATCTTCAATATCTAGTGTCAATGGGTAGATTATCGCATGCTAGCGTTTCTAGATAATAAGAGCATTAAAGTCTACTCTTTCTTCTACATGCCTATTAAGGCTGTATACAGAAAGAAAGCAGGAAGCCGACCAACGCTTGTGAGCGCTGGTAACAGTTACATAAAGGAAGCTGATTGAAGCCAAGTTGTTCATTAATTTCAAAGGGCGGTGCCAGCGCTGACCAGCGCGTGTCGGCACGCTTATCGGCGCTGGTCCATAGAAATGTTTGTGCCGGTTACCGGTAAGGACCAGTGCTGACAAGCGCTGGTCGGCTTCCAGCTTTCTTTCTGTACACGGCCTTATACCTCTACTCAGCTTATTAAATAAAAGAGAACACAGATATAATTTTAATTTTCCTTTGTTTCAAAAGAAAGGTTGGGATCATACCTAGCAGGTTCTGTTATGTGACTCAATTTCACTGGTCGAAGTAATTATACTAAACCAGTGATGCTTTTGGATCGCATTCAGAGTTCACACTAGGACCCCAGGTAAACTACTTATCAGTCTACCCATGTACACTATGCATAGCCAGTTTAAGTTTTTGTGTGTTCCTATGTTGTCTATGCAATCTTTTATCATTCATCACAATCACACATGATGTAATTCTATCCGCGTGCAATAAGATCTTCAATATACTTTATATTTTAATATAAAATAAACATTTTTTTTGATTACTTAAAGATTTCTTATTTAATTATGTTGTGAGCTAGTGTTTGTTTGAGGATGTAAAGATTTTTTGAAAAATGATTTTCTCGTTTTATTTTATGTCGACACGTGGAGGTGGGCCACGTTTCTATGTCGGACTACTTTTAGCGGATCTGAAAGGCGTCCTGCCTCATAAAAATTTAAATAAATCATCCAGGATAAATCCACTCCAACATAAACAAATAATTTCATCAAATTCTTTTAAGCCGTTTCTTTATTTAAAGAAACGAAATGAAGTATTTTATTAATTTAATATAAATCGCCTTTTATAGGTAGTTCGGTTCTTACAAACTGAAACATTTCCTTTCAGTCAACACGGTGCCTAGTTTACTTACATAGATATGCAAAACTTACCCAATCCCTAATTCTAGCTTTCTTAGCAGTAGTAAGTCCACTTAATAAAAAGAGCCGAAACAACAGAACTACTGAGACCTAAACATAGCGAGAGGCTTCGTCCAAAACTGAGACTGATAAGTCTCAACAGTTTGGACGACCGAACTAAAGAAGGACAAATCACACACAATAATGTTTAACTTTTGATTGGTGTGTAGATCAGGCTCTGAAGTCGGTTGTCGAGATAGGTATACTTATAATGAACAGTCGTACCTACAAAGACAAAACGTCAAATACACGTAAATTTTGCTGAAGAGCCATAAAATCGCAGAAAACCAGCTGGTTTGAAGTCAATGTCTTCTCCAAGATTTTGAGCGGTATATGTTGATCTATGCGGACGCACGGATGATCCCTAAGCTCCGATATACCTATAGCTGCGTCTCCAGTCCGCCGGGAACGTTTCGATTTGCCAGGAAAGCCAGCAAGTAAGAGTAGGTATAAGTACCCACCGGAAAGTGTTCAGGCACGGTATTTCTTATTATGTGGGTAAACCACAAATCCACGACTCAACGGTAACGGGCGCTGCTGTCACTGGCGCATTACCTCTCATGGCGGCGCGAGCGCACACAAGAGTTGCTGGACTATATTTCGGAATATCGATTTTCGGTGGATTATCATTAATAGTTATAAGTGAACTGCTTAAGTTGTCTCGTATATCAAATAATATTGGTGGAACAGCTGTATTTGAAATTGGTGCACAATAAGGACTCTGAGTGGGTGACCACGTGGACACGTAACGCTTCCAGCACGAGCTCATACTGGCGATGTCAAGGTGAGTGGTTTACTTCGTAGTGGGGAATCCTGTGCCTGAATTTTACCATTAGAAGCGGTAGGATCAGCGACCAAACCAACTTGTTCTCGTGGGCTATCGAAGGGGTTCTCGCGAACAGAAAGCATCCCCATTAGCATACCTAACGACTTTTCCTTTGGCCCGTCCAGTTAAATTAATATTCAGTTAGCAAATTGGCATTGCCCACCCCCTAGCTACGCTCATGCTGTCTTTACACTGACTCTTGTATAGTATCAAAGACCTAGGCATTACCCGTACATTTCCACAAATTAAATTACTTCGGTTTTCTAACACAAGTGAAGAAAGGCATAGATGATTTCCCGCTCCAATTGAAGCGCTTCCACTTTACGGAATATCACAGCGAAATAACAAAAGGACCCTGGTGGTGTCGAGTTTAAGCCGATGATCTTTGTTCCCGTCCTGCTCACCAATCGAAACAACACCACCGAAGTATTATTTATGTTGATCTTCCATGAGGACCTTACGAAAGATCACCGCCTTACGGTAAGGTTGATGTTCTTCACCAGACGTTTTAGAGACTTCATCCTTATCTCCGCAACGTAATGCACAATTCCTTCTGAGCTGATAAATCAACGGAATTCGCACGTCTTCTTTTTATATCAGAAAGAATAGAAGAAATATTAAGTTACGGAGTTACCTAATGGCAAGGGCGTCGCCAGCTTATGACTAAGGGGGGGGGGGGGTAATATAATAGGTAAAGAAGTCAATTGCTCGCACCTTGGCGACGCCCTTGCGTGATTGCTTTGTAGCTTTTCTGAAATTCGACTCTGCCTGCGCATAGCACAAAATTGTGAGTGAGACGAATGGTCAATTCCAAAGAGAGTAATCTATCTCTGTAATGTATGAGTGGTATGCGCAGCGTTACGTCGCGGTTGCTTGGCGTTATTAAAATAGTAGATCAAGTATAGGTACCTACACCAGTTTCATTACACGCTACTCCCTCACTCACAAGGCGGACAATAACCAACAGCGAGCACCTCTTCGAGATTTCCCGGTGAGCCGACGTATTTCGCCCTGTATTCGGCCACTCAGTTGCATTCCAGCAGAACGTGAGTAGCCGTTTCCTCTGCATAGTGGGCTATCCGTGACATTTAAGTTCAAAAGATTTCTGTTAAAATTGCCATCTCCTGTAATTGTACCTGTTACCATGCGCAATGTTGGTTAGTTAGCTCTAGAAGTCTTGTCACCCTAGTATGAGTACCGCGATATGATATAAAACGCGTTTTTATCACGCTCAATTGTCATATTACTATGGAATTTGACAGTTACACGCGATAAAAAACGTGATGTAAGTACTGTAAATTGTGGTGCTCATGCTACGAGCATTGGAGAGGGTAGCGTTTACCTGTGGCAAGGGGAGTTTGGCCTGCTTGCATGTCGCCAGTGAGCCAGTGTTGCTGGTGGGGTGCGACTGTGCGCTCGCGGGTTTTACCACAGATTATTTAATAGTTATTTACTGGGGGACAGACCCCTTTCTCAGTGGGCACTTTGGGCAAGTGCCCAGGGCCCCGTGATCGGTACGGGGCCCCCTCAGATCAAATACAAAGTCCCTAGTTCCTGTTAAATCACAAAACGGGGGTCATAGGGGCCCCATTATCCTAATATGCCCAGGGTCTCCAACAGGTCAAAGACGGCACTGCTGGGGGGCTATCGAATTACTATGGCTTATGATTTTATTTTAACATTTCCGATCGCCAAAGGTTTTCAAATGCCTCGCTTTGCTTTGGTTTTACTGGCAAACCAACTTACTGTTATCGGTATGATTGGTACGGGATCGTGTTGGATCTCTTCCGCCCCCGTGCATCCGCGGCATCGTTTCCGCGTGATCAACTGGTTATTCAATTTATAAGTAACGCCCAGGTCATTATCACAATACATAAAAACAAAAAGTATGATTCCTCTCTTCATTATTTATTATTTTTTCAAATTATCTAGAACAACCTTTTTCAATTCATGACTTTATTTTCTACTATACACATTTTTTGAGGATTTGCCTAAAAAACTTACATTTACACACACATAAATGCAATAAATTAATTTGTGATCAAATTGTCATTGATTCTCTTACTAACACTTCATCGATTGTAGACTTTTTAGAAGCGCTGTTAAATATTAATCTCTCGCAATTCAATGGAAATCAATTATAATCAACAGATTTTCCCACTCAAATGCACATAATCTCTACTTTATACAAAGTGACAAAGAATATTATAAAAGATTGTTGGAATGTTTGATGTTGAAACATCTTACACGCACATCGTTTCAATTAAATTAAAATAATATTAAACAGAAAAAAGTAATACTATAGGATAAATTTAAACAAATAAAATAGAAAATATAAAAAAGGAATAACATTTACTTATACCATATAAAGAAGACTTTTCAAAGTTATTTACTCATAACAATTTATATTTAAAAATATAATTTCTAATTAAGAATACTCAAGCATTTTTTTTACCAAATATAAAATATAAGTACCTACAGCACAGAGTATGAAGCTGACGTAAAACCATATTTCTGTGTATAATTAATTATAATCAAGTGTAAATGATTTGAATTCGCACCATAAGCAATTGTTTTAATTATATCATTATAATTCTTTATATACAATAAAAAGTTATCCACTATGTGGAGTATCTGTCTGTACAATTGTGATTTAATTCAATTATCTTAGGATCATAGTGGGGAATAATCCAATTGGACCGTTAGATGCTTCACGCCCGCCTCGCGGAATATCCTGGCGGCTTGATCCGTAACGTATCTAGGGTCTACCTCTCTGGCCACTTCCAGTTTTAATGCGCCTACATGCACGTCACTACATAAAGTCCAGAAGTGCGGTTCTTGTACCGCGTGAACGCCCGCAAGGCCCACCACTCGAGTGTACAAGTTGGGTAAGGCACGCTCTAAAGAAGTTGGAGTCCGTTGCATGAGCACACCGGCAGAGTCACGCACTAAGGGTAAGACACTCGCGGCTATTAACAAAGCTATGGCCATTGAGCATATGGGATCAGCGCGCATCCAGCCGAAGGTGCGCATCAGTATCGCTGACACGATGACGCCAACGGAGCCGAGAGTGTCGGCCAGTACGTGAAGGAAGACCCCGCGCATGATCGCGGAGCCCGCACCTGTGGACGCATCGATGTCGTCGTGGTCGTGGTCGTGCGAGTGATTGTGGTTGTGGGACTGGCCGTGGCCGCCGTGCGAGTGCCCGTGGGCGTGGCCGTGGTGGAACGCGTATATGCCCACCAAGTTGACCAGGAACCCAAGTATGGATACAAGCAGAAGACGTTCGTGCTTCACCTGAAATTACAAACATTGTAGGTTAAATTATTACATCTCTTAATCTGCATCAAACCGTGGCGAAAATAAAATGACTGCCTGACGTTATATGTAGATAAATGTAAAAGACTGCAACCAATGACGTATAATATATAGACAGGTCATACACCAACATTATTGCATTTTAAAATGGCACAAGTAGTCCCAGCCCCAACTTAACTTGGCAACAACCGCCAAAAGACTTCCTTCATTCATTTAGCAATTAAATCTCGCTCTTTAGCCTTCACGTGTCAACGGTGTCAAGACTGTAACTGTCCACAGGCCTATCCTTTGAATACGATAAGATGAACGGACCATGAGTCCATGACCTACCACGCGGAGCCAGTGCTGTTTGGTGGGTGCTCACAAGTGGGGATGCAGCCACATGTAACGGCTTAACGTGCCTTCCGAAGCATGAAGGAGCTCGAGATTATTTGAGAGAAAATTTCTCATCCATCCCATGACTGGTCATAGCGACAGTTGCTTAATTTTCACAATCGCAGAATTTTCGCTAATCATTGTGCCATCGAGCTTTCATATTCTGATATAAAGACATAAAATAAAGTGCTGTCTCGGCTGGGATTTGAACACGGACCGCCAGCGTAGGAGGCGAGCTTCCTGCCAGCCTGCCACTAAACTAGTGATACTTGTTAATAAGGTCTGATTTTTTTGTTAATAATTAAAAACGTAAAAACAATTGGCAGCGGGCGTCGTAATAAAAGTTTCACTTTAATAAAAACATTCAGCAAACAAAATTTTTTTTTCCACACATTTGCTCAAAAAATGCATTTACGAAGGTTGTATACATTGTTCGAAAATTCAAAATTACGGGCCATACGGCGAGCGCGCGGTAAAAAATTATTACTCACGCTCACATACATGGCACCGTGCGTATTATTTACGGTATTTTATAATTTATATCAAACCTCCTCGGAATCGCTTTTATAGAGAGACAAAACATAGGTATAGACATATCTATGTCACTCTTTAATACTAAAAATAAAAAGGAGACGGAAGATGCAGTTCTAATTTTAACTTTTGGAAATGCGCGCCATTTTCTTAAATTAGAAAAGAAATCCTTAATTACTTAAATTCTGTATAATGTTTTCTCACAAATGTGTAAAAAACGTTGTAAGACATTCGTGCGGATTGGTATTACAAAATTGTGACCATGGTAAGAGAAGCCCGAGACGAAGTCGAGGTTTTACATTAGTATATTAGTTTGTAATAACAAAGTCACCGCACTTGTATCCATTGTATCATAAATAACTATTTTACTCCGAAACACGAAAGACTTAAAATATTATAAATATTTAATCATCTTAACTAAAACCATATTTAAAATACCATGAAAACATTATTCAAAGGTTGATACCTATCGATGTCGCAACTTGACGCCTATCAATATAACAAAAGGTACGAGATGAAGTATGAAATACGTGCTTATTCACAGACAGTTTCAGCAATGCAATTTCGACATTATTGCAAGTACCTAATGACGTAAACAACACGGCAATGGAAAGTGGTTTTTACTCTTAACTATATCACACGCAACAATACTCAATGGCTATAGAAAATTATGATAAGTGGCGAAAATATTTTGAAATGTGTCCTATATTGAATTTTAATTGTAGATATTATTTGATTAATGACATTATAGCAAAGGAGTTAAATCACTGGCCAAGTCTGTATTGCTGAGAAAAAATAACACTGAAAACCTTATAAATCTTAAGCAAATGATTAGTTTCTGGGCAAGGTTACTCTATCACACTGAATGTTGCAATAGCCATACTCGGCTATTTATATTTAGTAAGCTTGACATTAGGCTTTCTTATCATGCTTTTTAAGGAATAAAAGGATGTCTGATGTCAAGTTTACAAAAAGCAAACACGAATGTGAATTACCAGCATAAATAAATAAATATTTTAATCAGTCACATCAATTAGCCTAGCCTGAAAGTTAGCACTGTACGGCTTGGTTCAGGAACAGGATATACTAGGATAATGCATCTAATGGTGCATTATCCTAATTTTTGTTTATTGGTGGTTCACAAAGCTGGTTAACATTTATAGAATGATAAAATTAAATTATGCAGAATGCAATTTATAATATTATAATAAATAAGTATAAACCATGACTGAAATGCTTATTTTCATCATACAAACATTTGTTGCACCAGGATATGAAACCAGGTCATCTGAGTAGGTAATACCTTGGAGACCGGTGTACATACCACTTGCACCATGCAGATTAATTATTCAAATTATAAAAAAAATCTTATGCATAAAATCATGCATATTTTTCTGACTGCTTCAAGTACATGATTATGATAATCCATATGCAACTCATTTGCTGTATTTGGCAAGTTTATGGACTTTTTATAATTTGAAACTTGGGCCATCTCCTGTTTGCTTGGTTTACCAATTTACTATTGAGCTATTTTTTGCAACTTTAATACTTGACAGTGTTTATGTGAATTTAAAATTAGACTATAAGAAAAAAAAATCCACAAAAAACTATATGTTGCAGTTTGCTACATAGTTATGCAAGTGAAACAGATTGTGACATTCAAATAATTATAATTTCAAAATATATAAACTGGGTACAAAAACACTGTCTTTCAATGACTCAATTAAGCTCCGTACACCATGCGGTCTGTTGCATGCTATACATTGCATGATACTGTTTGTAGTTTATTTTACAGCAACAAAAGAAGAAAAAAAATCTCAGCAATACTTTTTTAAGTATCTTAATTTGATGTACTTATTGAATACTTGGGCTTCGGCTGTGTAAAAAGACCCTCAGTCTATTTACACCCTGTTTTACATTAACTTTATTTAAAAAGATAAATTTGTGGATAGATTAACTAATAATTTGTAATTGCATTGAAGAGAGCTCTGGTTATTATTATGAATGAAAAATAAATAAGCTTGATGCTGTGACCATTGGCCAGCTGACATGGTATTGCAGTATGCTTTGAGCTAAGGCTCAAAGAATATATAATGATAAGTGATTATCAGTGTTGTAAATCCCAACTTCAGTGACTCCGGAAGTGCGAAATTTTAAATCAATTATTATAGTGTAATTTCACACTTGCAAATTGACAGTTAGTATAAAATTGCACTTAGCAAAGACAGAAACTGTGATTGAAGTATTGCAATTACCTAGTTACATATTCTGTATTTAAAAATCATTTGCCAAGAACATTTTGCTGTTGTAATTTGTACATTCTCCGAGTATCTTAATGAGTGAATTAATAAACTTACAGATGTATGTAATAATAATGGAATTTTAGATAAAAAATAAAATAAGTAATGATTTTTATAACTGTTATAAATTCCATTTAGGTCAATAAAACAGCTTTAATTAGATTTATAATTTTTTATATATACTGTAAAATATGGCTGTAGTAAGCACTTCTATGGTCCATTCAAATGACAATTATGTTGTAAATGTATACAAAAGCAAAAAAGGCACAATTTATAAGAAATCTTAAAAAAATTATCAGTTAAAATATTTTGTGGTAATTTATTATTGACGAAGCCTTTTACTTCTATGTATGCACTAAATAGAATAAAATTGATATTTTGTACTACTTACCTCAGGTGGTTCAATAGCCCTTTCTACTGCTTCACTCATAATGAAGAATGCAATAAACAACAGGAACAGACCATTAACAAATCCCGCAAGTACTTCAGCTCGCGCATAACCGTATGAAAAGCGCTCATTGGCGCGCCACCTGGACACAAGAGACGCTGCTAAGCCTGCCACCAGACCAGTGCAATCAAAGAACATGTGGAATGCATCAGATATGAGTCCTGTAAAAACATAAGTACTTGCTGAACAATTTGTAGCTGTAACGAAACTTACTGTCTACTAACCAATTAATTAAAAACAAATTCCATAAAATAAATTGTAATTTTAACATCAAATGCTTACCCAAACTGTTAGTCCAAACTCCATAGAAAAGTTCAACGAAAGCAAAGGAAAGATTCAAAATAAGGAAAAGGAACAAATTTCTTGAATTCTTATCAGAATAAATCAATCTCAGCCAAGTTTGAAATTTTTCCTTAATTCCGGCAAGAGGGCCTCGCGGTGTCCGCGTGTCTTTCTGAATTAGTGGCAGCATTTTGACTACTGAATTGACTTAGATTAATATCACGTCATTTCAAATCAAATTGAAAAAATCCTCAAACGTTAACATGGAAAACACTGCATACGTGTACCGTAAACCAGGCAGTTCCTAACCTAGCACTTTTATGTGAAATAAAGTACTTTAGAATAACTAACAGATATTTAAGTTTCAAGAACGAAATGCTATTTTTCAAACTTAGCCATTTTTTGTATATGTTTTTGTTTAAAAAATTAAACTTGTTTTACTTCGTTAAAAAAGTAAAGTTGATCTGAGAAGAATCATCAACTTGTCATAGTTGTCATCTCATCAATCAATCACTCAAAAAATGAAAAGGTGTATTCCGAAATATACATCAGCATACTGGCCATGACGTCACGAATCCGACGCCATATTACTGGTGTGCTACCATATTTTTACCGAGAAAACGAACGAATATGACGTGAAAAAAACTTTTTTATTCGATCGTCGATTATGTCGTCAGTGTACTGGCCAATATATTTCGGAACAATTCACCAGTATAGCGTCGATTCATGACGTCCGTCATAAGCACTGGCCAGTATACTGGTATATATTATGGAATATACCCGAAAATGACATTGGGGTTCGGGAGGATCGAGGGCGGATCCTTGGCGGATCGAGCGAGCGAACGAACCGAACGAACGAGCGAGCGAACTGAGCGAACGAGGATTGAGAGTGAGGCGCGACCATGGACTATGCATATGAACAGACTGGTGAGGAAACAAAAGGATCGTCTCCAAGACTGCCGCTGACAAGCGGCACCAAACCCCGCGGGGGCGCACCCCCGTGAGAAGTAGCCCGGGGAAAGAATTGTTTTTCGAACCCGAACCCACTCCAAGTGGAAGAATCCCGAACATGCTTTGCAATCTTTGGCCGTATACAGAAAGACAGCTGGAAGCCGATCAGCGCTTGTCAGAGCTGGTATTAGTTACATAGAAGAAACAGATTGAAGCCTAGTTGTTCATTAATTTCAAAGGACGGTGCCAGCGCTGACCAGCGCGTGTCGGCACTTGTCGGTGCTTATCGGTGCTGGTCCATAGAAATGCTTGCGCCGGTTACCAGTAAGGCTTCCTCCTTCTCCTCGGCTTCCAGCTTTCTTAATGTATACGGCCTTAGGGTACCATTGACCAGGTTTCAGTACTCAGAGCATTGATCACAGAATGCCTTTGACAGAGGGGAAATAGCTGTAATTGCGTCTCCCATTATAGATACTCACCGATCTGTGACGGTACTATGTATATGCGGATGCTGACCGATCACTGTTGCTAAAAAACCGAACCAAGTGAGAGGCACATAACGGAGGGTGTTTGTCACTGTCTTAGAGGGTGACCATATTATTATAATGATGTTGATTCTGGCATGATTCTCTAAACATAAAACTTAAATTAACATCAGTGTCTCCTTTTCATTCTGTACAGATGAGAGAGACTGTCAAATTTAAGTTTAGGTTTATAGAATCACGCTAGAATCGACACCATTAAGTAGTTATACTACGCCTCTATATTTTGTTTTTTTTTTTGTAAATTATTATTGAATCTTTACACTAGACATCTTTAGTGGTGATGTTTTTTTTGTTAATTTTTGGTGGATCCTAGTATCTTTTAAACACAAGTTATCGAAAAAAATAAGATATAGGAGATTAGAATTAGTAAAATTATATTTTATGTATGAAAATCATTTCTTTAGTGATAAAAATCAAGGAAGAATCTGTCGAGAACGTTTGTATGGAAAAAAATTGCCCGCCTATCCTATATAAATTATATCGCTTAAACTGTTCTATAAATCTGTATAGTTCATTCAACTTAGAAAAATATAACAAATATTTTTCTAAATAATCATTTCCACTGTTCATAACCGCATTCCTGTGATAATCATAATTATAGTCGTCTTATCTTTACCTACTTAATATTAAGAATCGAATACTCAGCCATTTATTGGTGTCGATTCTGGCATGATTCTCTAAACCTAAACTTAAATTTGACAACAGTGTATCCTTGTCATTCTCTACATAGAATGAAAGGGAGAGACTGATGTTAAATTAAGTTTTATGTTTAGAGAATTATGCCAGAATTGACACTATTATATTTATTAATGGTTGAAAATACCTAATTTTCAATCAATGACTTTTTTGGTTGGAAGTACTAATTAAATGGCCTCTGCTATAACTGTCTCATTATTGCCCTTAAAAGCCTTCATTTGGATTGCTCTTTTTTTGGACAGCGTAAGTAAATAAAAGGACACGAAGTCGAATTGTTATTAGTGTTTTTTTTATTATTTTACCATTTAATTGAAGTATTTTGAGTTGCGGGCGCCTGATACTGTCATAATTCTTGTAGATTTTTTGACGAAGACGATAGTCGAAGAAATTAAAATGTTTACTTTGCGTAATAAAAAAACTACAAAAGTTAAATCTTTCGTCCATGCAACAACAACAAAAGCTTTTTTTTGTCTATGACATAGTACATTACGAATCGTTATGTCATTGGTCAAAAAGATTTGGTTCTATTAACGACCAATAGGAACTTAGAGAAGTCGACATGCCATTTTTTTTACGAAATAGCATCTTTCTGATGAGTCATAGACTTACTATTGACACTCGTTTCCGGAGTTGATAATATAAATGTCTATGAAATTCATTTATATTGGCTTTTGCATAATAAATTTTCAAGTCATATTATTTATTTTCCGGCACAAAATTACTAATTGATGGTTGGATTATTTACGATAATGTAACTTTTATGTATATCTCATCCATTTAAATAATGTTTCCATGCAAATTACCATTTTATATTTCTCCCGCCATTTATTTAAACACGTTCCACCGGAAATTTGTCTATAGATGCGTTTGTTTCCGAAAAGTGAACGTTTCACGAGTCAACAGCAACGTCTTTCGAGAAGTTCTAGGCGCTGTGTGTGACATTTTTCGTTCATTTATCCGTCATCCAATGTTTAATGTGATGAAATAACACGTTGGTTAGCGTATATTTACGATATTAGTGTTCATAGACGTAATTAAGTAATCTTACGATTACGATATAAGCTAATATGGGCGACGAAAGCCACCCGAAAACTCTCTACGTCGGTAATTTAGACGCGAGTGTGACAGAAGATTTCCTATGCGCGTTATTTGGACAAATAGGCGAGGTTAAAGGCTGTAAGATAATTCGTGAGCCTGGTAATGATCCTTATGCATTTCTCGAGTTTACAAATCATTCGGCAGCGGCTACAGCCCTGGCCGCCATGAACAAACGAGTGTTCCTCGATAAAGAAATGAAGGTTAACTGGGCTACGAGTCCTGGCAATCAGCCGAAGACGGATACTAGCAATCACCACCACATATTTGTTGGTGATCTATCGCCGGAGATCGAGACCCATATATTGCGTGAGGCTTTTGCACCTTTCGGTGAGATATCAAATTGTCGGATAGTCCGCGACCCACAAACGCTCAAATCTAAAGGGTACGCTTTTGTTTCATTCGTCAAAAAAGCCGATGCTGAAGCTGCAATCCAAGCTATGAACGGGCAGTGGTTAGGCTCACGTTCCATACGCACGAACTGGTCAACTCGTAAACCACCAACCAATAGACCAAACGAGGGCGCGCCGAGTAGCAAGAGAGCCAAACAGCCAACCTTTGATGAAGTTTACAATCAAAGCTCACCAACAAACACAACTGTTTACTGCGGAGGATTCACAAGCAATGTAATTACTGAGGAATTAATGCAAAGCACATTCTCACAATTTGGCCAGATACAAGATATAAGAGTGTTCAGGGATAAGGGCTATGCGTTTATTAGGTTCACAACAAAAGAGGCAGCAGCTCATGCCATTGAAGCTACTCATAATACAGAAATTAGTGGGCACACAGTCAAATGTTTCTGGGGTAAAGAAAACGGAGGAGGTGATAATCAGGTTTGTATATTTATGAAAAAAGAAAATACCATAAATATTAATATCAGATGAAGCGTTGTTAAGCAGAAAGCAACCAGCTGGCATTTTAGGTGCAAGCGAAAATTTGTCTGTGAACCAATGTTTAAGTTTGATTCTGTTTGGTCCCAAAGATGCCTGCTGGTTGCTCTCTGCTTAACAACACTCCTTTGATAATTATATTTGTGGTTGAACTTTATGAGCTATTTGCAATCTGTTTATATTCTCAACAAATTCTACTGTCCAAGACAAGCTTTTGTGCTTACCAGACTTGACTGTTAAACATATTTTCAGGACTGGATATTTATTTGTTTATTTTGAAAAGATATTGTGTTGGTAATCTAATGAATGGTATATTTCTGAACCAAGGTACTGTGGATTGGTCTACAATCTGATTCAATTAATTTAAAAATAAATGTATTTTACTGATGTTAAAATGGAGGCAGCTATATCATTGATGTCGCTGATAACAATGGCAAATACTTTACTTTACCTTAATTACAATACATTCAAGGTGAAGTTTATGTATTTACTGTGTTTCAGTAACAATAAATTCCTACATTCATATCCATGCTATTACTTTTGTAATAGTAGTACTAATTTTAAAACTTAAATTATTCTTGTCTGAATTTTAAAGTTCTCAGATGATATAAATAATTTATTTTTTAATATGTAATACTTTGCATACATTCTTATATGTGGAGAATTAGTGCCATATAAAAATATTTCTTATAGTTTCCATGGATAGATAAACTTAAATTGTGTCATTGTGCAAACTGAATATCGAACAAGATATAAACTGTTAATTTTGAAACAGATAAATTTATACCGCATGGGTAAACTCAGGGCTTATTTTCAATTCTGAAGCCCTGGCCAAACTGGACTATACAATCGGCAACAAATGGCTTTTTATGACTGCTGCCACCTCCCTTGGTCTTGTAATAAATATATCCCTGGGTAAACTTGTTTTATGATTTGGCCCGAAATATTGCCCAGGTGCATAAAAAAATTCAGTCTAATTTCATCTGCTATGCAAAAATATACAAATTTCTTGTCTGTAAGTAAAATTTATTTGACTATTTATAGTAATAAAGATTTCCTTTTATATTTTTACAGAGTACGAATAATGCACCACCTTCTGCACCAGCTACCATGGGAGCACAAACACAATACCCATACCCATACCAGCAAGGCATGGGTTACTGGTATGCCCAGGTAAATAATGTCATAAAAAATCTATTTGTATATATGTTGCAAACATAGAGCAATACAGAAGAGAGTAGAGAGTAATGGTTGCCTCAACTACACCAGCGCTGAGAGCATGCTTTGGGGGGAATTTGGTCCTCACAATGCGCATTGGGTGACTGGTGCAGGAGTATTGTCTGTTGTACGGTCCCTGTTCAGGGCGTTATATAGGGCCTTGCTCATTTCATCGACACCAGGGCTACATAAATGGAGCAGGGTGGAGTCCCAGAATCCATTGCTCCTGCAGTGGTCTCCCATACTGTGCCTGTTAAATTTTTTTTTTAACTGCTGTTATAATGAATACATGAATATATCAATATTGGCTATAAATCTGGTCAACAATAAATGTTTGGATCTTTATCACAAAGAAAGAATGTATAAAATACATTTTTATTGATACAGTACCAATGTTCAAATATTTTTCTGAGCCCATGATAACAATTTGGATTTTTTTAACTCTGCATAACTACATCTTCAATAACATAAGGTGATATGCGGTCAATTAGGTACACGGCTGCTATAAAAAATGTTATGTTTGAGGTAGGTAGTTAGTTTTAAGTTTATCTATAAATTACTTAGATACATAGAAACATCAAATGTGAAATTCAGCAGTTATCACCAGCAAGTATTTTGACAGAACCAATTGATAAAAAGGTATTGTTAATCGGTCAAGACTATTTTAACAGTTTTTTTTTGTTTCAATATTTTTGCATTACTACTGAATCATATTATCACCCTCAATGATCATTTCTTTGTATGTACAACGCGTGATTGGCACGTCTGTCGAGCTGTGACGTCACCAAGATGGAAACAATGAGTCGCATGTCGCGCCTGATTACCCGCCTCAAAATGTTCAGTAGAAAGTCCGAGGTTTATTTATATTAGAGACATATTTTGGGTGTGTTATAATGAGAATTATAATTATGGTAAAGCAATGTCATGCAGTATTTTTTTTCCCGTTTTTATTTGTTTACCAGGGTTATTGTGAATGGCAAAAGTTTGATATCCGCCGTTGCGGATGTGTATTATTACAGATTCACATCCGCGGATAAAGTGGAAAACAACATAATAAGCAACATAAGGCTCAAAGACAGTTTTAGAGATAAATTGATCTGTGGCTGTCTGTACAAAGATTAAATTCTAAGTCGGGCAAGAAACATCAAAAACTTCAAGCTTCTTGTATTGTTTTATTTTCAATTTTATCTAATTTTTATTATATGTCATTATAGGCAAGAAACTTTTTCACTTTTTTTAGAAATTGAAAAAAAAAAATAACTATGTGGTACATGAGATACCGCCGTTCTGTTCATATTTGTTACCAAATCAATAAAAATCTTTTATTCACTTGTAGCAAGAAATTATATCACAATCCAACTCATAAATTAATCATTATTTAATTTTCCATTGCACGTTTACGTAATTTATGTCTCATGCTAATAAAAAGAAGGAAATGTGCTTCTAAATAGGTAAAATTGTTATCGAAATAAAATTAATTAAATTTGGTAAATCCATGTATCATTAGATCGTCATTCCATAAGTAGTTCTTAGTAAACTTTTACAATATTACTATCTACAATTGCAAAGTTTCAAATCAAGATTTATAGTAAATTGACTTCTCTGCTTGTGATGGATAGATGCGACCAATTAACGTTACTTTCGATGACATTATTGTTATTTCTATAAAAGTAGGTTAAGAATAGTTATTTCTCGAGATGACCTGCCGCTTCACCGGCATTTATTTGAGGAAAAATGTTATATTGGGTCAGACACTCTGAAAGGATAGAAATTTTACTGTTTTGCGGACTTTTTTTTTATAAAAATCTCTTTTGTATTTCTTTTACCGTTTTCGCAACGGAAGCTCACAAATAGAATATATTTTCCCGTTTTGCAACATTTTTCACTGGTGCTACGCTGCTTTTAGTCGTAGCGTTATGTAAAGGGCGGACGCGCACTGAGAGACATATTATGATAAAAAGGTATTTGAAAAAACTATTGCTGTCGCGCTTTGGCAAAAACCGTGCGATACCACAGTAGCTTACTCTGAAAAATGCGTATAAAAATTGCAAAAATCGAGGTTTGGCTCTCGACGACTTCCTCCCCGAAAATAAGATGTGTAAAATAAAATTTATCCATACAATAATAAGTAGTTTTACTAGGCCTCTATATTTTGCTTTTTTGTAAATGCTTATTGAATCGCAACACTAGACGTCATTAGTGGTGATAAAAAAACAATATTTTTGGCATTTTTTAAGGACTTCTATAGGTGCTTTGAAACAAAAGTTATCAAAAAAAGGAAGACATAGGAACATAGAACGAGTAAAACTATATTTTATGTATGAAAATCAAATCAAAGAGGAATCAGTTGACAACGTTTGTATGGAAAAAACATTGCCCGCCTCCCCTCTTAAAGAGCTTTCTTCGGTATATGCACTATCCATATCCATGACAACAGTATTTTTTTGAAGGGAACCAGTAGTTCCAGTGTTAAGCGCGTTCAAACAAACAAACTCTTCAGTTTTTAGCTATTCGTATATGCTTCAACGGATATTATCGTAAGGCTCGTTAAAGTAATTGCTTTTAACATATGGTAGAATCATTAGCACTTCTACAAGCTTTTATGATTAGCAAATTGTATATTATTTCGTCCTACAGTATTTTATGTGGGTAATACTTGGAACTGTAATTACAAGTAGATAAGTGAAAGAGGAGTTCGATGGCGCAAGTGGTTAGCGCGTTCGGCTGCGATCGTTGAAGTTAAGCAACTTTCGCAGTGGTCGGTCATTGGATGGGTGACCAAAAATTTAATAACATGAGCTCCTCCGTGCTTCGGAAGGCACGTTAAGCCGTTGGTCCCGGCTGCATCTGCAGTCGTTAGCACCCACCAATCCGCACTGGGCCCGCGTGGTGGGTCATGACCCAATCTCCCTATTCCATCCATAGGGAAGGCCTGTGCCCCAGCAGTGGGGACATTAATAGGCTGATGATGATGATGATGATGAAGTGAAAGCATTTGCCTATTATAGTTCATATTATACGGGTATACGATTCACCCATCTCATCTTCAGTAAATACTTGGGTGGTTTCCATACGGCAATTTTTCCCTAGGCACCTCTTTCAATTTTGGACACACTAAATCACTAAAATTTTAAAGATTTTTAAGTATCGTGTGTTCACTTAGACAGTCGCTTTTCCGTCTGCACTAAACTTTAAAATTCTTCAATCGATTTTCAACCTTGTTGCTTATTTACAAAGCTGAATATTAATTGTTGAAAATGAAATATTGTTTGACTGATGTGCTATTATCCGGACATAGTTCATCTGCATCGCTAGAGCCGACTACTAAAAAGGGGATCGTGCATGAATTGGTTAATTAACTCCAGTACGGAAGGTTAAAATGTTAAACGTTTTAATTTCTCCGACACACTATTCAAGTTTCGTTGTGCTTGTGTATTGGGGTTAAAATTGAATGGTTTTTAATTTCTCCAAACATTATGCTAATGTAAAAATGACACATCAAATTTTTATCTATCAACAAAATGGAGGAATTGCCCTAAATGATTTTCTAACTCCATTCAGAGTTACTAATCGTCATTTTATATGGAGGAAAAATACTTTGAACATACGATCAGGATGTCAGCTATTATTAAATTTCGATTAGGTTTTGATGGCACTTTTCAATTGACTACACTGTATGATAATAAAACATTTTGATTTCGGTTTTTCTCACTGCATTGTAAACTTGCGAACCCATGGCGGCGTACCTAGCCTATGCTATAAATTAATTTGAGTTTGTTTGTTCTGGTTAGGGTTCCGTACCTCAAAAGGAAAAAACGGAACCCTTATATGAGACCACTTTGTTGTACGTCCGTCTGTCAAGACCGTTTTTCTTTGGAACGCGTGGAGGTATCAAACTGAAATTCATATCTAATACTCAGGTCTACTGTCCCCAACTGTGAAAAAATCAAACTTCTAAGCCAAGGCAATCAAAAGATACAGCCGTTTATGCCGCAAATTTTCGAAACTCGCACGAATATCAAAACCTACTTAAAACGGTACTTCCCGTGAACTTAGAATTTTACAATTTGGTACGAAGTAACGTCTTATAGTATAAAGGAAAAATTGCGAAAACCGTAAATTTTTAGTTATACCTACAGGTTTGTACGGAACCCTCGGTGCGCGTGTTCGACTTGCACTTTGCCGGGGTTTTTTTTTGATGTTTTGTCGTTGCAGCTTGTTCTGGGTCACGTTCGTTTTTTTACAAATCCCTTGAGCTGATTAGTAGCTCATTGTATTTACTAAGCGCTGTAACTTTGTTCAGAGCCTAGCCCATATTAGTAAGCACAGATTGATCCGTCGGAGCTTGTCATTAGGGTTGTCTATAGTACATTTTATTGTATACTTAGTTGAAGTCCCTTGATGTAAGTGTTCAAAACGGACTATAGTTTTATCTGTCTACATATTTATGTACTTTATTAGCCAAGCTAGTATATTTTAAGCTATCACTACATTATAAAACAAAGACCCCTGTCAAGTCTATCTGTAATGTTGTATGTTTGCGATGGTCTAAAAAACTACTGAAATATTTTTACCTTCAGTTTTGTATGTGTACCAAGTCCAATAACAAAAACTATATGGAAAGAAAGCTTAGGACACGTCACTAGCTTATAACTAGAGCAAAGGATACTTTCAAAATCATTGATAATATTGATGATGTGTTAATACCGACTACATGATAGTATTAATATTAAGAATTCATTTTATGCAATTACGTTGTTTTATTGCAGGGTTACCCCGCGTTACAAGGCTACATGCCGCCTGGGTATTATCAGCAGTACGCGGCCGCCTATAGCAGCCCGCAAGCGGCAGCGGCAGGTATGATATTTTCTATTCAACTTTATGTTCTAAGCATTAAGGCACTAAATAGAAATTAGGAGTGAGATATTATGAATCAAGGAGTTCAATGAAAAGTTACATATCATCGTTATAATCCGTAGTGGCCATTGCATACGGAAATCAAAAGAGCACGCCAGTAAAGCCACCCATTCAGATTGTAGCTAGTATAGAATACTTGGTTCTTTGCACTGACCCGATAGATATTGAAATTCAACCGAAAAACTTCAGAAATTATAAGCACCACATATCTCGGCTACATAGAATTGGATGTTTCTCGTATATAATGGGCTTTGTAAATATTTATTAATATTGGTATTCTTGTTGTGCCTATCTTAAAGCAGTTTAATTCGTCCCTGACTCTTGAAGGCAAATGTTCCTTTTAAATGTAAACCTGGGGGCTAATCAATCTTCAGGTACACTTCAAAAGTTTTAAAGTTTTTGCAATTAATACCAAAGTTCATTGAGTTTTCTGAGTGTGGTTATTCCTCTGGTATATTTGCTACCTAGCTCTTGAAGGAACCATTAAAATAGTTCATCAATAGACACCTATCAAGGCCTTGATGTAGTGATTGTAATTGTAGTGTTATAAATAACCTACAATGTAATCTAATCAAATCTAATACTAGTCACGGGCCAGTTGAGCTTATAAAGTTCTCCTTAAATTTATAGACTGATAAATTGAGCGTTGTTAAGCAGAAATCGACCAGCGGTCATTTTTGAAGTAAGCAAAAATTTGTTCTTTGAACCTATGTTTAAGTTTAATCCCAAAAATGGCCGCTGAGCGCTTTTTGCATAACACCGCACAATTATGCACCATTAGTAGGTACCTAAATACTTTCTCTACATTTAAATTATAAATGTAAAGTTTTAGCCATATGCATCGCCAGTGGTCGTGGCTTGTGGGTCATGACATGACTTTTTTGGAGAATTTGTAGTACCAACCAATGCCTAATTTAGCTATGTTGAGATGTGTCATTAAATAATAACGTGTATCTATATCTATATAATTATTATGTGTTTATCCGCCGCCGTCTTTCTACCAACAGATGGCCCTTATGCTTGTTTGACACTCTTTTAACATAAAAAAGTAAGATACATAAAGTAGGTATGTATAATTGTACATATGTACAATGCGATTTAACTAAGACCAACTTGGCGCCATATTGTGACGTGATAGCTATCAATTCAAACCGGTAAGGTACAGTGAGCAAAAAAGTTTTTCTTTAATAAAACTTATTTACCAAAATAAGGTGAGAAAAATGTCAGATATTTAAATAACACGGTTTTTATTCTAAGATGCACTGAGCTAAAGTGCTAAAAAAAAGTGTGCAAGTTTTTTTGCAAACCGTACTTTTCAAGCGACATTTGACAGAAATCGGTCATTGGCTTTCCTATTCTTATTTGAATCCCATAGTATACTAAATGCACAGACCGAGCACAAAATTATACATAGCCTAAAGGGAAGCGAGGACTGGTCACTAGAGCACTATAAAAGCCTAAAAACTTGTATAACAAGAATGTAAATATTTGAAATAAAATGCTAATCTGTCAAACGCCATGAACGTGAGTGGACTATATTATATATGCATTTGCCTCCGAAAATGCTAAATATGCACGACCGTGTCGCTTTCTCTACGCGGCGCGCTAGCGGTCGCTTTGCTTGTGACGAATACACCAGCTAATTTCAATACGCGCTCGACTCCTATGTTATAGAATTTTCTTATCGGCGCGGCAAGTTGTCTATGGCCTCATTTCTACCTTTATCACAGTATAAAAATTGTTTGATGCTGGGTGCTATGTGTTTAACTTATGCAGTTGGTTAGAAGGTTAGACACTAATTTGTTTTCTGTCTTTATTAAAGTGTAACTTACTACATCGTCCCAAAAGTTCTTTTTGCTTTCATCTTGAGCATGTTGCATTACATTTTAAATTGTTATTAAAAAAATCAGATCTTATCAACAAGCATCGGTGGTTCAGTGGTGGAAAGCTCGCCGGCTACGCGGGCGGGCCGGGTTCGATTCCCAGCCGAGGAAGGTCTTTTTTATATACCTTATCATTATAAAAGTTTCACTTAAATTATGGGTTTCAACACCACAGCAACAAAATATTTTTCATCCTCTTTTTTGGTTTGTTTATCAATTCTTATTATTTTATAATAATACAAATATGAAATAAGGACTCGGAAATATACCTACTAACAACGTATATATTTTGTTTTGTCTATTTTTAAATCTTTTAGGTGCTAGTTGTTTTGCGTGGTAATATAGGTTTCCCATAGAAACTTACACCCCCCTTTTCAAACCCTTAAATGGTGATTTCTGGGATAAAAACTAACCTTTGTCTTTTCCTGGTACTCAAACTATCTCTATACCAAATTTCATCGAAATCGGTTCAGCGGTTTAAGCGTGAAGAGGCAACAGACACACTTTCGAATTTATAATACTTAAGAACGCCCGCGACTTCTACCGCGTTAACTTTAGTTTTTTTGAGAATTCCACAAGAACTTAACATGTTTTCAGCATTAAAAGGACCCATGTCTCAATCCAGGTCATAAACTATATGCTTATCAATTTTCATCCAAATCCGTTACGTAGTTTTTGCAAGATTGACTAGGTAACAAACGTACAAACTTTCACTTTTGGAATATAACTGAAGAGTGTAAAGTTCTTGTGGGATTCTCAAAGAACTATATTTACCGCGAACGAAGTCGCAGGCGGCCGCTAGTGTATAATATTGGTAGGATTAGTATGAAGTATGACTTAGTATTAGTATTGATGTAAGCATGGCCATAGCATGCATTATCCTGTTGGCAATTAAGTCTAACAAATATCTAGAGGAGCTCGATGGCGGAAGTGGTTAGCGCTTTCGACCGCGATCGTTGAAGTTAAGCAACTCTCACAGCGGTCGGTCTTTGGATGGGTGACAAAAAAACTTATTATCTTGAGCTCCTCCTTGCTTCGGTCAGCACGTTAAGCCGTTGGTCCCGGCTGCATCTGAAGTCGTTGGCACCCACCAACTGTGCACTGCGCCCGCGTGGTGGGTCATCGCCCAGTTTCTCTATTCCATCCTAAGGGAAGGCCTGTTCCTCTGCCTGAATGAATAGGCTGTTGATGATGATGATATTTTTGAGAAAATTGAATCAGAGCTCCAAGGTACTAACTAGCGGAGACCCAGTTTGATGCCGAGTGTATCCTATATATAAAATTCTCGTGTCACAATGTTAGTTACCATACTCCTCCGAAACGGCTTGACCGATTTTTATGAAATTTTATATGCATATTCAGTAGGTCTGAGAATCGGCTACTATCTATTATTCGTACCCCTAAGTGATAAGGGTTGACCACCTCCTTACATTTTATTTTAATTTTTGGACTATGGTTATATATATAATGTGGTATTAAAAATACATACAACCCTAAATTTTCACCCTTCCACCACCAGCCCCTATTTTTAAAGCGGTACGAAGTGCGCTGGGTCAGCTAGTTATTATTAAATAATCAATAAATAAATATTTCCAACACTCACACCAATTAGACTAACCCCAAAGTAAGCACTTTAAGGCTTGTGTTATGGGATACTAGGGTAACGGATAGAATACACATACTTTACATATATAAGTATATTTATATAGAAACACATATTTAAACATGACTGGAGTACAAATGCTCGTGTACATCACACAAATATCTGCCTCCACCGGGATTCGAACCCGTGACCTCTCGAGTCGGCGACGCCATGAAACCCGGCGTACAAACCACTCGACCACGGAGGTCGTCAAATAGGCTAGTTGACTCATGTCGAATTGTATTAAATAAATGTTTATTTCTTAAAGTATTTGGTCTAAGGACCTAAATATATCGATTTCACTTCATAAAAGCAGAAGATTGCTGTAGAAATTTAATTTAAAAAAATATTTTTTAGTCTATATTTTTTAAACACTAAAAACGCTGTTCGCCACATCCGCCATGATTGTGACGTCTATTATGGTAAACAACTAAATGTCATACGCGTGTTACTGTGGGTGGATTCTTTCGTCTGACTTAATTTATCTTAAAACTCTTTTAACTTTAGAAAAGTTTCGTACAATACAATAATGATAATTACTTTATTTTTCGTGGTATTTATTAGAACTCTTTTTTTTTATTATAAAGTCAGTTAAAAGTAATTTTCTACGTGTTTACGAGTTTTTGTTTACCACAGTTCACGTCATAGCATAGATAATCTATAGACTAAAATGGCCGACAGCGTTTTTGTATGTCCATGAAAAATCTATTTTAAAATCAAAGATTTGTAGCTTTTTAGGTCTCAAAAAATACAATACATTTTTTTTCGATCTAATAGAACATTTATTAACCATTTAGGACCTTTTTCCAAAAAGGGTCAACTAGCCTATTATATAGTATAAAAGGGATGATGACTATTTTTTTTTCTTCGTTTATCAGGTAGATTATCAAAAAGTATTGGACACGTATTTTTTCTTTTTTCACATAATATAAACATTGCAGAGATACATTGATTTGAAAAGTCGCATGACGTCACGTTTGAGTACACTTATAAGCGAAAATTCACTCAAAAGTGACGTCACGAGCCCCTACTCCCAAACTTTGACGCGCTATAACTCTGTCATTTTTTGGTTGATTGCCCAAAGAAAAAATACGTGTCCATTATTTTTTGATCATCTAACTGACGGACTAAATAGAATTTCGTTTACTGTACCCCGTCATCACCCCTAATATAGATGGTCGCATGACCATAACGTGCATTATCATCTAGGGGAGTCCTAACAAGGCGTTGTTTTGTTGCAGCCGGGTACCGCATGAGCATGCCCGGGGGCGGGGGTGCGGGCGCGGGCGGCGCGGCATGGGGCGGGGCGCCGCCCGTCATGTACGCGAGCGCCGCCATGCCCTCCGCGCAGTACCCCTCGCAGTAGCCCCGCGACCACGACCGCGACCGCACACTACCGCGAACCGCGCGCGACTGAGAATACACACCCCCTACTCTACTCCCCCCGGCACACGACACGCGACCTCGAATGAAAACAAACGACTGTCGCCTCACTGAGTGTGACGTCAGCTATCCGCAGCCGCGCGATTGTAAACAGACGACTGTCGCTTGTGACGGCAGCCATCGGCGGCCGCGCGATTGAAAACAAACGACTGTCGCCTCACTCAGTGTGACGTCATCTATTCGCAGCCGCGCGATTGAAAACAAACGACTGTCGCCTGTGACGTCAGCCATCCGCAGCCGCGCGATTGAAAACGAAACAACTGTCGCTTTAGAGCAAGCGCATATTGAGCCACTAAACACGGCTACTGGAGGCTCAATCCAGCCACTAGACGCAGCCACCGATCACTGCCGCTAGTAGCTCAGTGGCGGCCACAATGCTTAGTTTGTGCCGATACTATACAAAACTTATGCAAAATCTCGACGCGTTTATAGGCTCAATGTGCGCTTGCTCTTATTGTGTGTGAAATCAGACATCGGCAGTTGCGCGATTCGAAACAAACGACTGTCACCGTACTAACTGTGTGACGTCGACAAGCGACATTCTGCGGCCGCGGTTGAAAACAAAGGACTGTCGCCGTACTTACTGTCGAAGTGAATTATGGTGTATTAACTGGTTACTATTTACACCACAATAGATTAACTCCATTGGCTGTTCAAAGCTGCGGCTAAGTTGACAATAAAATGTTTTATACAGATTCAATAAAGCAATGGTCGTTTAGATGCAAAACCAGCCATCTTAACTAGAAGATAATTTTTCAACTTTAAATTTGTATTATTATAGAAAATTCACGTTTAAAAAATCTCAAATAACTTTTTCTCTTTCCATTTCTATCTTGTGGAACTCATATTTTCCGATGGTCAGTGTTCTTGCCCCAGTGACAAGCGTTATCTTAAGGAGATGTCCTGAAAACTATTGAAATCACTGTGATTGTGTACGTTTATAGACTGTTATTAGTTTCATTATTATAATTTCTACCATATTCCGTACATGTTACAGTTGGTTTTCAATTATTAACGCATTGGTCACTATTTAGCGTTAGCGTCCTTTTCAGTCGCGCCGCTTACGACAGAGATGGCGATAAAAGTTCGTTTAGTTTTCATTCGTAATTGCTCGTTATTTAGTAATGAATGTTTTTTCCGCGTGCGCTCGATAGATGGCGTTACGTGTGCAAAGCTAGTTCACGTTTGTTTATAGGCTGCCGTTAAAACGCCATCTGCCGAGTAATCGAGCCAACAAAATGCAAAGAAAGGTTGTGTAGATTGATCTACTTGAGGGTGTGTATGTCATACCTGTTGCAATTTAAGTAACTGAATGTCACAATAGCCTAATCTCGGAGCTTAAATAACATCGGCTATCGAAAAACAAGTATACCTCTCGTCTCGATGTGTGTTGCTTTTCATTATTTCATGAGATTTTGATAAAGCTGTTTGCTTGTTCATTGCTCAGACCAAATGTATTTCACATACACGCCCCTAAGTCGACACTCGAAACCTAAGTGCTGAATACTATTACAAGATAAATGCAAAACTTATTTCCAAACAAATTTGGCACGATTAAAACGATATGATATTAAAACAGTATATCTGGTTTAATATTGATAACTTTTTGATCTTGACAAATTCAAATTTGAATATTTATATACAATTTACCAATCGCCTTGAAGCGTGCCTGACTGTCAACAGAACACGGAAAAGCAATATTGGGACGAAATCTATGTAAAGAATATTTTGTTATTCTGTGTCACAAAAATTTTTAGTTTTTTTTTTATTTGTATAAAGATCTTGTTATGCGTGTATTTGAAGCATAACCGCCTGTGTTGTATTAACGGATGAGGCCTTTAAATTCAATCAAACCCTAAAGCATTCACTGGTGGATTTATTAATATAGCGAGATGTTATTTGGTAATGTATAGAAATATATATACCCACCATGAGTATTTTAGGGTCTGATAACTAGGGTGCTACGGTTTGTTGTGGTATTTAATATCATTGTGGATGACAGATGGTTTTTTCGTATTGTGACTGCACTACGGGCACATTTCAAGGCGCTGCGTGCCCCAGACTCAGTATTCTCAGTCGCGATCCGTGCTCCCATTGTGAAGTCATAGAGGTATAAGAATAGAGTGGGGAAGGCGGCTCTAAAAGAGTCCGTCTAGTAGAAAGAGAAAGAAGATGAGAGACCGCTAGCTATCTCTCTCTCTTGTGACGCATGGCATCCAATGGCATCACATCAAAATAGTAAGATGCTTACGGTTGCCAATGCGCATCCGCGATTAGAGAGAGAAAGCTAGCGTTCTCTCATCTTCTTACTCTTTCTATTAGAGGGACACTTCCACTTGTAGTAGTCTGGCCCGTATTACAGAATGGCAACTAAGTGTTCATCTTTACTTGAGTACAGTTAGAAAGGGATGTCGCTATGTGCTATAAATAGCGGCATCACGTTCTAACTATGCTCAAGACTAGATCAATCACTGAGAATCTTTCTCTAATACGGGCCTATATCTCACCTACTCTATTCTTATACCTCTATGTGTGAAGTACTGTTTGACAATATTACGTTCACACATCGAAGTATGAGAGCGCCTCCCTTCTCTTTCGCATGTTAGTCGACCTCTAGATGAGCGAGGGAGAACGCAGACGCGCCACACACACGTTAGTTTAATAAAGGAATTGTGAAAATATAATATATTCTATTACAGATTCAGATTTCTTTACTCGCTCACACGCAGCCCTCCCATTCGTCGTCCCGCACGCTTTGCCGCCAGTAATATTGTCAAATAGGCATGTAGAAGAATGGTTTCCCGAAATTGGTCCATACATATCTTCGGAAGTTTGAGAGCTTCGGTAGTGGGTGTTACTGTCGAAGCTGTACCGGCACCCGAGAATCGACTCGTGTATTGCGAGTGGGAATCGATTAATCGATCAATCGATCGATCGAGTTGAGAGATCGATGCCCCGCGCCAGTCGCACTCGGAACGACGCGCCCGTCACCTCGCACGGCTCCCCGCGTTGTTAGCCGACCTACATAGATAGGACTGAACGAAATAAATTATAAAATAAAAAGTTATAAATATATAAGGGGAGCGGTGTCGCGAGTGGCCTCGTGTACATACGTTGATATTTATTGGCGCTCGGCGCTGGCAGACTGAGCTATAATCCCCCAGGACTCTACGAGACGCGCCAGTCCGTTTGACATATACATATATATTTATAATTATTAAGTTCGCGGCACATGTTGTTTTGTTTTGACCTTGTTATGATTTTGTATGGAAACACTGGTAAGTCAATAAAGCAGTGGGTCTGGGACAAAGGATGTTTGATTTACCGTTTTTGTACTGTATTATGTTTATTTCTGGGTCCAAAAGTTTTATATATATTATTATGAGACGACCGTGCGGTCCACCTCTGTGATTGATTGAAGCCTGCACGATATACATTCGGATGACGAAAAATTTATTGTAAATTCTTAATTAAAAGGTCATTTTGTAAAAGGAAAATAAATAGTTTAAGTTTAATATTACTTTGGTTATTGTTGTATTATTAGCAGTCTCTTGCGAACAACCCCAGTCTTGATGTTGTACCTAGATCACAGGAGGCACCCGTCTCTAACGTGATCTTCACAATTTTCAACAAAATTAAGAAAAGTGTGATGTCAAATAATTTTTATGATTTCAATAATAATTTTGATTAGAAATAAGTAGGAGTTCCTACTCCTATACTCCTACTATTACTCATCTCGCACACTGTCAGACACTTGGCAACGAGTAAGTTATTCAAAACTGAATTTCACTTCCTCCATTGAGAAAATTATAAACTGTGGTAACCTGGTACCTATGAAGTACCCTCTACTACTACATCTTAATGGTGGAAGTCTCTCTTGACACTCGAGGAATTGGAAACATCAAATCCGTGTGATCTCTTCTGGAATACGTAGGTAGACGTCAATACCTTTAATCTTCTCGATAATTTAAACATGGGTCTGTCATACTTCTGCTGACATAAGGGATTATGAAAATTTAACATTTAATATTTTTTTTCCTACTAGTAGGACTACGAGGAATAGGGCTTCCTCGTGGTCCTATGAGTAGAACAAATTGACCGGTGTTAAGCAGAAAGCGAACAGCGGGCGCATTTTTGGAACAAGCGAGAATTCGTTCTATGAACCCATGTTTAAATTTGATTTCGTTTGAGCCTAATGAAACTAGGTATTTAAAATTTTATAATTTAACCCCGCAATAGGACCACGAGGAAACTGTCAATATAACGGCTCTTTCGTCTACTACTTCCGCATCGCAACGCTGCTCAGGGCCGGAGTGGTGTGGAGGCCCTGGTACAAAGAGCCCGTATTTTCAAATCTGGAAGCCCGTGTCACTTAAGGTTTTTATTTTGGTCCCTCCTCTTTCTGGGGCGGACATACACAAAACGCCTTCATCTTCCAGCTCAGCCGTCCTGTACCCACTCTGAAGTGATACCATTGGCTCTATATCTAATGTGTCTTCTCTCTTCGCCTCGACTCTTCATTCTTCACCTCTCTTAAGGCCACTCCGAATCTTGTGCCTTCTACGCAGTCCCTCAGCTGTCTGAATTTCGCATCCGAGCTCACCAGGTCGCGATAGAAGTCTGGCCTAACTTCAAGCACTTTCATACTGTCCAGAAGCTCCCTACGCGCCCCGTAGAGCTTAACTCCCATTGGTATGCGTCCTTTGCCTCGCCCTCCCCACATAAGCAAGACCCCGCCTCCGCGAACTTAATTCGGTGAAGCCTAACACAACGCGCGGGTGAACAGTAAATAATGGATATTATATTTGCTCATTTGTTTTATATCTGGAAAGGGCGTTAAGTCTCCCTGAACCATCGAGACTAGCAAGAACATCTGAAGACTACTCCCTGCCCAGCCCAGATAATACTCGTGCAGTGTGCACCGTACACCCGCCACGCACTATGAGGACCGAGGTCCCCCTAATGCGTACCAAGTGAGGGTATGGGTGTGGTTACTCGAATAGGATTCGAAGAGCACAGAAGACGGCCAAGCGAGCGTGCCCCGTCGCCCGCAGCGGCGATGAACTGACATGAAACAGCACCCATAGCCGGGGCGGACACTAACTGCTTCTACTGCTGACGCACACACTTATGAATCGGTATGACCCACTTGAATCTAACAACTCTATGTTGGGTGTGAACGACTTCAGTTGCAGCCGGGGCCAGTGACTTCACGTGCCTTTACAAAGTACGGAGGAGCTCGAGATAATATATTTTTGGTCACCCATTGTATGACCGGCTGGCTGAGCTCATGTCAGCATCTCACATGTCTAAGAGCTATATATATTTTAAGAAAAGAAGCTAATCATATGTATGGTGTTTTGAAAATAACACGTTTGTTTCCAAGGGATTACGTACATTTAAGCGAAAATCTACCTTAATTTTTTAGAATAGTTATATAAAAATAAGCTTATGGTAGGGCAGAATCAGGAATTTGAAAATTGGATGAAAGTACGTATAGTTCAGATAGTAATACAATAAACGAATAAGTACCTACCACAAAAATAACATCCAAAAATTTTGAAATATTGTTCTAAACATAATAATGCAGCAGTAGGCCGTACACACGTTGGAGAATGCTAGCTGCCGGCGCCGATCTACCGGCGCTTATCGGTAACGCAGAAGCTGTCTGACTTATGCAATGTCGAGCTCACCATGGAACTTGCCGGCGACGCGACGTTCGGCGCTTATTGGCGCTGGTTCAGCACTAACGATAAACGATAACTTTCTTCTACGGTACGGTAGTCCGGTTGATAAAAAAGAACAACAGGCAACTGAACTAAGTAGGTACTGAGAAAAAGAGGAAAAGTTATCAGTTTGCTGCCGAACTACTTACTGATTCGCAGACTCGGGCGTATTTACCCTAGGACGAAGAAGACTTTTGCCGGGGTGGTAGAAGCTATATAAAGACATTCTATAATGACTTTGATATTTACTAATGATTAAAAAATACCCGCCTGTGGGGAAAATAAAGAGAAGTAACATAAAATGATGTAAACTAAAACATTTTCGAGATAAGTAAGTAATAAGCGAAGGCAACAGTGTTCTGTAAACAGGTTAGAAGAGTGATCAAGGACCGTTTGTACGGGAACCGATGTCACGGGCTCGCCTAACTACTTCGAACCAATCGGTGCTCACACCCGAGAGCAACGACGCAATCAGAACCAAGTGTTGGTCAAATTATTACATTTGCTCACACAACTGTGGCGCGCCTGCCCGGCCCACAAGGGACATAATCAATAAATACATTTGTTACTACTTAGTTATTTGTTCTTATTTATTTAGTCTTCTTTAAGAAATATAAAAAAAACACAGTTACGTGTTTTTGTGTATATACCAGCACTGTTAAGGAGTCACCAAAGCGGAATGCCTTTATTCTGTCGCCTCTCGCATCTCTTACAGACAGCCCTACGCAGCTAGCCATCCCAGGCCATGGATTCTTGGTCCTAGGGCAAAATAGATACGTTCCTAAAATTCTTACTCAGCATATCTTTTGGAAGAAAAGCAGTTCTCTCTGTCTGCGATAACAACGCCAGCTCTCGAGCACTCGCCAAAGAATTAAAATGTTGTTGCCATTTTATGTTAATTGAAGACGATTTTTTATTTTAGTCAGAATATCAGAAAAAATCCCGAAAACCCGAACAGAAATAAATGAATGAATTAATATTCTTTATAATAGATAAAACATAGGAATGCAAACACAAAAGGCGGCCTTATTCCTAAATGAAACATTAAATTAGGTACTTGCTTACTGGGAGATTTGTGTGTCGATTCCCATATAAATAATTTTCTTTCCATATTTATGGTGGTTAAAATAAACAGTGTAGTATATAAACCGAGTAAAAGTAAAATATTTGGTATATTCTCTGGACTTTTGTTGTTGAACTGTTGTCTCCCCTGACGGCCCTCCTAGGGCCTCCCATCAGAATTTCTATAGTTCTGATGTCTCCTACTCTGAACTTAAAAAAAACAGGAAATACATGACGAAGAGGTTCTGATAATGAAAATGGATATAGGAAATATCTTCTTTTAATGTTTTTTTTTTAAATATAGATCTAATAATACTATTCGGGTTTTGTGGGCAAGGGTTCAGCAGCGGTTCAATTTATTTTCAAGTGGCCATCAGTATGGCTAAACATGACAGAGCTGCATAAACGAGTATCTTCCCAATATACAAAGAAAGTTCTGATGTTTCCGCAACCAAGGGGACTTATAAAATCGGACTTTTGAGTCATCCTGCATGTTTACGCTCATGACGGTGGGTGCGTAAAATGAATCAAAATAATTTTTGTCCACAGCAAATGTTCGAAAACAAAAAACAATTGACGTTCTTAGTTTTTACATTATTGCCTACCCACGAGACACAAGCCGCTCGAGGTTTACTTGTTTTATTTATATTTTCAATATAATACGGTCCATGATACACGGTGAATCGAAATCATCCGTGCATTCTTGCGTGTTGGTTATTTCCATCATCCCCTTGGCGCATTTTTTTCACCATTAAAATTATCCTTAACCCACATTATGATTTCATATTGTACAAGTCATTTTATAAATTTAAGCAAAGTAACAGGAGTGACGTGAAAATTGCAATGACAGTGATCTAAAAATAAGGTCGTACGGCGTCGGTCGCGCCTTTGAGCGTCGAGTGCGCGTTAGCTTCAGTCGAGGACCGACCGTCGCGAGTTTCAGTCGAACGAATAATCATAAAGTAGCAGCCATGGTGTACGAAAGTGACTTTTACACGACCCGCCGTCCGTACCGGCCGAGCAGCTACAGCAGCGTCACGGTGAGTGCCGCCGCCGTCCTTCTAACCCACTGCGCGTCGCTCCTCGCTCCATACCTCCCGGGAGCCGGACGGCCCTCGCACCAGCTCGACCCTCGATCGCGTCCTTCGTTAACAGTCTGTCGTTCGAGTTTCGCAGTGACCTAAAGTGTTCGATCAGTGATTGCAAAAACGAAGATTGGTATGAATCGAATGTCTTCTCAAGTGTTAACAACTTGACTCGTTTTTATTTTTCGCTTGTAAACATCATTGCTTTCATTAAGTTATCTTCTCGGCTTCGTCTTCCCGAAACGGATTCTCCTGATTCCGAATCGCTATTAGGCCATCCGTATCTCGATGTAGCATTCGGCAAGTGGGTCATCTCGTATCGAGAAACTGAGTCGGAAAGCTGAGCTATCGAGCGCGCCAAATATAGCCGCGGCTGGAGTCGCGCCGCCCGACTAACGGCGACTTCTCCGCTTGCAGCGGCGGGCCGGCGACTGGGAGAAGGTGCCGTTCGTGCCGCGGCCGAGCCTCGTGCCGGACCCGGTGACTGCGTTCGGGCGGCGCACGCGGCCCCACGAGCGCGCGCACATCCTCGAGCCCGTCACGCGGCAGAACATCCAGCCGATGGCGGAGTACAAGCTGGCCCCGCTCGCGCCGTACGTGTCGCCGCGCGACCAGACGCGTGAGCGGGTGCTGGCGTCGGTGGGGCAGCGCGAGCGCTCGTACGCCGCCGACCCGCTGGGCACGCCGCGCGACCACATGGACGTGGCGCTGGCGCACGCGCACGGCCGCCCGCTGCACGCGCCGCACCGCCACGTCTATTACAGCAACTACGCGTCTTACTGAGCTTCGGAGGTCGTTCGTGTTCCGTGTGTCGCTTTCGCTAGTTAGCTAGTCGGTCGGGTCGGTGCGAGGGTGGGCGGTGAGAGAAGGTCGGTGGTGGCTAAGGGCGAGGTTGTTGCAGACGCCGCGCCACTACGTGGTGGTGGACCGCGAGCCGCTGCCCCGGCGCGCCGAGGAGCAGTACTCGTACTCATACTCGAGCACGTCGGAGCGGCAGGGGGGCAGCGGGCTGCCGCAGCGCAGCACGTACAGCAACACGGTGGAGCGGCGCACAGGCAGCGGCCCCGGCGGCTACAACTACACCAGCGAGCGCTCCAGCAGCCTGGGCGGCCCGGGAGGCTACTCCTACTCGTCGACCACCAGCGGCCGCCTGCCCTACGGCACCACCTACCGCCACTACTCATACCGCGTTTAGCGCCCGGCTCCCGATCCCACCCGCCTCACATCCCCGCCCTCCCTAACTCCCTGTCGCCGCTCCTGCTTCCTTAACTTATTGTGTACCTAATCAGTATTCGCTAATCCCGAGCAAACAATGATCGCTCTACTTTGTTTAGTAAACAAGTAGAATGTGAATCGTAAATAATTCGATCAATGATATTTTGATGTAATGATTTATTTTGTAATACTTTATTTATTTAAAATGTGATTTAGACTGAATTTTTAATAAAGCTTGCGTTTTCTATATTCTCTTTTTCCTTTACTTTCCAAGGGTACTCTTACTTCCCTTTGAACATAGAGGTCGATAGATGACTCGGCCTTTATTACTAACAGAGTGTTTGTTATTTCCTATTGTAAATAATACTGTTTGTATTTGTGTCTGTTACTTTACAAAGTAAACTAAGTAGATTACGCACTTATTTTGGAAACAGTACAGTCCGTATCCTGATTATGTATTTAGGTCTTAAAAACAAAAAATAATAAGATACAATGCGCACTAGGCACAAAATTCAGGGGTGGTCTAACTGTGTAACATTTGCTCCTTCATTCATTTCATACATGGGAAATTTATTGAATTTTTGTTTAGCTTTGAAGGGGAAAGCGAAGGAGACAAAGTTAGACATTTAGCCCCCAATCAACTCTAGCCATTTGCAAAAAAAAATTAAAGTTTCTGTGGAATTTATGATAAGTGGTTGATAATATAGAGGACACTAAGTGTTAAAACATAAGTCCACAGAGTTAATAAAAGTAAACAGAAGGTAGATTAGCTTAATTAGATAGTTTATCCCCTGGTCTGTGTATCACAGCTCCGCTTTTTTTTACGGCCGGAAAATAAAAAAAAACCCGCCGATTTTTCATTTATGTCTTAAATCAATCCTGAATAGTTTCTCTACTAAGTTATCTATATATTAGATGTGTTTTTAGAAAAATGACAATTGCGCGTGTATTATGTAACAGAACAAACTCAGTTTTCACCGCGGAATCCGCCCTGTAATTTGAAATTCGTGTTATAATTTTAAATCACACCGCGGATTCCGAGGTGAAGAATGAGTTTGCTCTTACAGAATAGCACTGCTGCCCAGATATTAAGGCTGGGTTTGAACTTTATTGGATAACCATAATCCAGGCGCTACCCCGTATTCCAGCCTGATATCTACACGCTGTAGATGAGTGGTCATCTTTCTATTTAAACGAATGCTAGGTTAAAAAGCAACAATAACAACTTTATCTCAAGCTTTTCAATTCCTTAAAATAAATCAAATGTTGGATTCACCAGACAAGTAATTACAGTTAATTAGCCTGTTTTAAACTTGTACTTTTATATTTTAGCGTAATTTTTCGTTCAAACGAATAGAAAGAATGCCACTTGTTTGAACGCAGTGGGCAAAGTTGATATTTTTCTAGGAATGCTTTGTTTTATTCTCAATTCTGCAAATATTACACCATCCAAGCCCCTGTTCATTTATTGAATTAACGCTCAGAAGTTAAAGCCCATTAAAATCTGTTGCTTTAGACAATGTTGTCAATCCTTATTGCAGCTCAAAAGTTGTTTAGATTCCTGTAATGGCAGTAGCCTAGTTCAGATGATAGAATTAAAGCAACTTTACAGTTACGTTAATAGCTTCGACAAATGCATAAATGTTTATAATAAAATGGAATACAGTAGGATCCCCCATTGCTGGAGCAAGTAATAGTCAATGGGATTAGTGGAATAACCCGCCTTGATACTGGGGGTTATTAACCAACTCGAACAAGTCTGGCACAATTCTCTAAACCTAAAACTTTGTCCTTAATAATGAAAATGATATTTCTAGACTAGTTCATAGTTAACTTGTAGTCATCGCGTGGCGTGGCGTGGACCATTCAATAGAACTTTTGTTAATTAATCTAGCTATCTACGAATCAGCACAGTCTTTTGTTTATTCAAATTAGTATAAGAAATAGGGATGATGACTTACTTTATTTCTTCGTCTATCAGGTAGATTATCAAAAAGTATTGGACATGTATGTTCGGGGCCGTATCAAGAGGTGTATGTAAATCTAGGCCGGGCCACATAAGATTTGCACCCGGTTGGTTTTTATCTTTGTTGTGGGGCTCTGGGTCAGCCCCACCTGCCCTGTTTTAAGTACGGCCCTGCGTATTTTTCTTTATTCGCATAATCAAAACCTTACAGAGATATATTGATACTTAATGTCGAATGATAACATTGAAATTAGTACAATTTTTTACTTTTGAAGTGATGTCATAATCTCTCACTACTTACCAACTTTGACGAGCTTTACCTTCATAATTTTTTAGTTGATTGACAAAAGAAAAAACATGTGTCCTTTATTTTTTAATATCTAATCTAACTGACGGACCAAATGGAATTTCGAGTAGGTACATTACCCCGTCATCATCCCTATTGTTGCCAGATTTGATTTATCATCACCTTGTAGGGATTAGGTACCTGTACTTTGAAAAAGTATGGTTTAATAAAAAGTGTTAATGCAACTACCTATTTGCATTGTGCCACATGCCGCCGGCAGCCGCTGTCGTCGTTGTATTACCTGAGCTCGTTACTGCCGTACTATCACGTGCCCTACGTCACGTACATTCCGAGCTTATCCCAGGTGAGTATCAAATAGATGACAGAGAATGACGCCACAGAAATGCTTTTAGAAATGTAAATATCATTAGGTATCAGGATCAGGTATAAGGTTTCACGTAAAAAGCACACCTATGAGAAATGTTACAGGGATTTAGTGAAAAACATGTATAAATTAGGAAAGTCATATTTTAAATTAAATTTAAATTTCAACAGGCTAAGTTTCTAACACGCTTCTTTTGATGCTACGAACCTAGAAAAATAAATATTGCATTATATTAAAGTATTGCAGTGGGCGCACGCCCTTGAAAGAATAATATCGCACCCCCGCCCCGGTGCGACACTGTCACTTATGCAAAAATAGCTAAGCTGCTATCCATCTAAAAAAATTAAAAAAAAAAACTTTAAATATTGTATGTTTTGGGATGTTAAAGTTTTAAACGCTTCTCCTGAAAAAATGATTTTTTTGCATAAGACAGTGTCACACCGGAGCGGAGGTGCGATATATTATTTTCATGAACACAGCACACACATCATTCTGCAAACGACGAGTCTATGACTTGCATAGCCTCTGCGACACTAGCCTTGGCACCTGCAATGTAGAAAATTTTATTTAAACCAGTAAAATTAGCATAGGCAATTATAATTCCCTTATGCCAAGGCCAGTTAGAACATTACGCGCATTTCTGTGGTGGGTTCTGTCTGTGAAACAGCTGTAATATAACGAAGCAAACCACGGAGTGATCAAAACAGCTGTAAATAGCTCGTAGACTGCACCGCACCACTCAGTGTACACATGCACAAACATCGTTCCCACATCTGCGAGACACCCATAGCACCTACACTAGCCTGCAAAATTAAGTATCACACTTTTAAAATTCCAATAACTTTATAAGTACACAAGATATACGTTTAGTTATGTACTAAACTCTTTATCGAGTACTTTTCACTTCAAAGAAAGTATGAAGATAAAATTTGCTATAAAACTTTTTTATTTTAAATCTCTAACTTCTATAGTTTAGAAAATATTGAAATTTTAGAAATGTGATTCTTAGTTTTGTAGGTCAGTGTATTTCAAGGAATTTCGTAAAACATTTCATTGTTATTTTAGCCATTTTCATTTCAAACGCTGTTTATAAATGTATGCTACATACCTCCTCAAATACAATTGTTTACCTACATCTAAATCTCATCTACCCGAATAGCAAAAACACGAGTTCGCGTCTCGCATTTATTACCTGATTCTGTGAATACTGGCTCTTGATGTTGCTGTAAATCACAGATGTAAATACATAGTAGAATTACGAGAACATTTATTATCAATTCGATACAAAGGGCACTTTCAAAATAAAAAGTGCTTTCAATAAGTATTTCCCATCCTTTTTTTCTTTATATATAATTAGGGACTTACACAGGGTACGTGGCTCGGTCCTATATTTTAGATCCTATTACACAAGTTAAATATAAACGTTCGTACGCACAAAAATTGCAAAGACGAGCAAACTAAACTAATATCATGGTTGATCAAAATAAATTTATAGTTATACATAATAGCCCCGTATAGCTTCCAAAAATTTTCATAAGAATAAGTAAGAAATATGAAAGATGCAACAGAGTTTAAAAATAATCTTATCCAACCGTCAGATGACCGACCGGGCCGTGTCTCAACCGTGTAAAATAATTCTTAATATTGTTCTTTCTATTCTTAATCTTTTAAAGGAATAGTATGGATGGCATTGTGCCAGGTCGGGACTGCATGCCCTATGCACTACATTACATCACGGCCTGGTCTGGTCTGTAGATCGTAAACGGAATTAGTAACAAAACTGAAAGTATTTTATGTAAAATGTTTGCCCAAAGCTAAATAAATAGTTAAAAATTCAATTAAATTATTTCCCCCACACATGAATAAATTAAATACCTAATTTAAAACATAACTGCCCTTAAAAAACGAACTAAAATGTAAAAAGTAATTACCTACGCCCTTTTGAAGAATTGTGGTCCCTAGGGAAAACCATTACAGGAAGTTCATTTCACAAACCTTTCGTGCGAGACAGAAAGTTTTCTTCGAAACCGCACTGTAGGTACGTGAACTACTTGTCTATATCCACTTGGATCCAATTCATTGATGGATCCTAGTATGTAATGCATTTCCTCCACCCGAAATCATCATGCCAGTCAATTCCAAATAATGGATTCTAAGACATACCAATGTAAAACTCTATGGTGGATAAAAGTGCACCTTGTAGACTTAGAATCTATTAAGTATTTGGATTTGACCAGTATGATGGACTTAGGTAGAGGAAATGGCGTACAACTTACTTAATTTCCGCAATGGAGCTATTGCAATGGATTCAAGTACGAACACACTTTAGTGAACATACTCAAGGCGTGAGGATGAGCTTTCTGCCGACGACACTGCGAGCGAAAAATATCTATGAATGATCTCACTGCTACCGTATTATAAACAATTTCTGCAGCTTTTTCGTATGTTGTCTTTAATGTAAGTATGCTATGATGAAACGCATGCTTCGGGCATAAAAATAGAATAACGACCACGACCCATTTAAAAAAATTACCCACGACATAAACACAATCGATCAGTTTGTTTAAAACTGCGTTAATGAATTGATTACACGGATGAAATAAAAATTACTATTCCATTATTTTTTGTAGGTGTCTATATAGGTAGCATAACCATTAAATTAAACAATAAGTAGAATAACGAACAGAAATCAATGTTCATACCATACATAACTTGTCTACTATTAATTGTAGAAAAAAAGCAAAAAAATATTCGTCGATAGATTTTCATCGATTATTTACTTATTTTCAGTTTAGTCATCATATCCTGTCTACGCTTAACAGGGCATAATCTTCACGCCATAGGGAAATGACATACATTAAAAAACACGCCCCCAAGAAAGATTAAAACTGGATGTTGGGCTCCATCTATACCGAACTATTTCTAACTATAGTCTGCAAAAATACGCGTTGTTTGAAACATAGTTAACATTCCACACACATTCTACTACTATAGTGTGTCTATAGTATTAACGTGACATTCAGACACAAGTACGCTACAATATTTACAATTTTCGCATAACTTGCTTTTGAATATTCACCTGACAAAATCGAAAACTACTGGCTGTTTTAGCAAGTAATCCAACCTACCACTTCTCATTATCATCATCAGCAGTCTAAATTGCACGTCGGGAAGCCTTCGGGTCAGTAGTTCTTTTTAGTTAGTAATTCAAACTCAAACTCATTTATTCAGTCTAGGCTGTTACAAGCTCTTGTGAAAGTTAAAAGCGCCAAACGCCATTGGTTTGTAAATCTACGGCGGGAGACCTTGTGCTGAGATAAACGGACAAGAAACTCAGCAAGGGCTATTTTTTTTCTTCCTATTTTGTTTCATACAGTGTCGTCAATTGAAAGATGACATCAATACATAACATAATAAAAACGTATATCTCACAAGTCTATCTCTGTATAGCTACCTACGTAATTAGTCCAAGTTTTCAAACTACGGCAACCCAGAAATTCATTCATGACATCTTGATATTTGACACAGACGATTTGCGCTTTGATCATAACCACACTTCAAATGTCTCAACAAATGAAACCAATTCATATTGTTTTATAATAGAATCAAAGAAATTTATATTTAAAGTTTAATGTCTTCGTAGATCTTATATCATTGGCTTGTAGCTAACCTACCTTAAATAAATAAAACGATTTCAAAATACAACTCAAACATAGAAAATATATTTATCAGATCGATTCAAGCTTAAAGTAAACGACATATAGATAATTGATACTGAATGTTTGTAAATCTGCGGTGGTTACCATGTTTAATTTTCGATTCGTATAACTCCCATTTTACCCAAGTAATACCCCTCCTGCCAGTGGGCACTATCTATGAGTTTCAATTGATTATTATCTACCTAGATTAAAAAAAGAGTCTGCTGCTAAACGTGCCAATAAAATCCTCAAAGAAACATTTCACAAAATTCTAATGTCGACGCCGAAAAATAAATACAATGTAAACTGTTACAAACTTCCGTAGCCTTGGACTGGCTGAATACTTAAAAACAATCTTAAAATACATTAAATTAGTATTACATCATAGCCAGTACTGGAGAGAAAAATAAACTTTAAGGACTCATTTTACTGCGTAGATAGGAAACTGTAAAAACGTATCGGAAGCAGTAGGCGAAGAAATGCCAAACTATCATTTCGGAAGTCGTTTAGACCCAAAATAAGATTTATAAACCCTGGATTAAAATGGGTCTTAAAAGTTTAATCCGTACCACTATTTCTTAAATAGGAATAGGTAGTTGATGTACCTACTTAAAAATAGGAATCTTAGATTACTATAAAGTACCTAACAATGATGTCGTACATACAAACCAAAAAAAACAGTATCTGTCTCAATACTTCTGTGGTATTTGTAGCAAAGACGCAGAACGAAAACTATTATAGATCGCAACAATAACATAACGTTTATCTAAAACATACTCCGGATGAACGGATGGACGTTGAAATCCCTTGAGACAACAAAGAATAAGAGCGGATCAAGGGAAAAATGGAATTTTGGCAGCCGCACTGAGGCCACGTCTCACTAACAACTACGCCCCACTCATCACTGAAAACGACCGACAAAAAATTACTAATAAACAAAGCGTGTTACGTATGGAAACCAATTCAAAAATAGGTAAGCAACCATGTTTTGGATAGCAAACGATTTATTTAGTGGCACCTGACATGTCTCTAACTGCTATTCTACTCAGAACAACATTATTGTTCTGGAGAACTATCAAATATACATATTTAAATTTGAAACCCGATATCCTGTTTTGCAATTAGCCAAGAATAGTAATAATTATTCTGTGGGCACCCAATTAGTGTTTACGGCAATTTAATTATTTGGCAGTTTTTCAGAGAACAGAAAAACAAACATTTGAAGAAAATAATTTTAAAAACGACTGTTTTGTTGATGTAAGTTGGTGGGTGAAATTTCTGGAACTTTCCACATAAATCTTTGATTGATCATAATAAAGAGAGATACTTTGGATAATTTTAGCAAATTGATTATTATTAACGGAAATACATATAATGAAATGAAATGACACTACCATGCCACTAGGCTTTGATAGAGCAGATATCGAATCTGATATAGGGATACCAAAACGAATGTTTTCTCTTTGAAAAGCGAATCTCTTTTGGAACTCTATGTTTCGCGATACCTAATATAATGTTTCATGTTTTATGTAGGTATTTTTAAACAATAATGGTGTGTCTAGAAATGACTCAATGCAATCCTCAGAAAACCAAACCAATTTTGCCATTTATTTAAAGTTGATGCTGTCAATTTTTGAGATAGCAATAGAGACATACCTAGGTTCATAATACGAGACAAAACACCACTTTGCCCAAGTCCTAATAAGTTTAATTGAATATCCGATTCACGAACCTAAAAAAAAGAGATTACGGTCGTATATTAGCCGTTAATGTTATATGTAAATGAATCTATAGATGATTGATGATTGACAGTTGATACTGTTTAGAGATTTATCTACATGCTTAATTACATATGATTATAATCATAATGTAAGCAATTATTACGTCCATTACATATACGATGGACGTATTGCCCGCGCGCAACAGTAGCAGTATAGTGGCTAATTTTACTCCGCACTCCCGATGACTCACACCGCCATTGATATGCGCAATAAGGTCTGCCGTTCCTGAAATAAAACTCGATGAAGTATTTATAAACAACTTAGAAAGATATATGACGCTAGCGTCATTTGTTACAAACAAAAAGTATCAAGTAAGTATTGTAATAGCCTGAAAAGAATTGTTAGGATTTTGTGAAAGAATCACGTCGATTCTGTATCATGCAATCTCATTTTCGATCGATTAATTTGAATGTCAAATATCTATTACTGGCTGCGTTAACAGTCATTGCAACGGAATGCATGTACCTATATGTTATGTCTAAAATTAGAGTTGGAACTCTAAAGAGAGATTTTATTTTACAGAATCCATCAAATTCCAATAGATCATAATTGTATATTTACTATTCGATCTTATGCTTTGCTGTATTTAAAAAGTCACCTCACCTACTTCATGACAATAATGCCGTTTTGAGTTTGAAGCATGTAAATTTATTAAATCAGAAAAATCATAATAATAGTTTAACTTTATTGGAACTGCCCTCCTTGTAAAATACTCTGTATTACTTTTAGAAACTTTGATCAGCTTGTTAAACAAAACAGTTTTTATTGCATGTTCAGTATCAGATTTTGCTTCTAAAATCTAAGCTTTCGCCTTTTCGAGTGAATCTTTTGCCTCCTCTGAAACTATGAAGCTATACCTAAGCATGAATAGCGTAGAGCGTTAGTGTACCTATTTCGCTTCTCAAAAGATTTTACAAAAGAAATTTCATATAATGCTGCACAGTCAGAAGAAGATGGTGGACTGTATTATTTTCTCATCTTAATGAGTTCAATTTCAAGCTCAATCCCTCTCGGAAACCAGCGAACAACTTTACCACTAAAAGAGTAGGACTATATTGTAAGACAATTAGTAATGATGCGCACAAATCTGTCGTTTGTGATTAAAAGTAACATTGCAGACGCCAACTTCTTCGGCTGTTGCATGGACCAATAGTCCATGACTAAGCTTTACGTCTCGCGCTTCGTTCTAAATGAAGAGGAATGCGCGAACCTCGCGAATTTTGGTCGTACGAATAAGCCATGATCAAACTCAAGCATATATGTAGATAATGTATCCTTATTGACGTTCGGTTGATTCGAGAATTTGAACAAGCGATGTTCACGTATTCGCCTTATATTTGGACGAGACCAAACTAATAAGACTTACTAAGTAGCTACATTACAGTGTAATGGAAAATCCAAAATTATAAATTTAACATAGCATTCCGATCTTTGATCGAAGCTGATTTCAGATCGTAGAAAAATGAATTTGACGTACATACTTATGATATTCGGAGAATGCGTGATAAATAAAAATATTTTTTAAGAAGAAGTAAGATATCTACATAAATATCAAAATTCTAAAAGAAATCCCTTTCACTGTCATGTAATTTTGTCACAAAGCGCAGGCCACACTTTTGTCTTTGTGATCAAAGAGTTGGGACGACGCAAAATCTACAAAGTTCAGTTGGTTGTGGCTTGCGTTCAGAACTTGGCATAGCATTTTTGACCCGCCCGACTGGTTTCAGGCCGAATTGATATATCGGCCGACCACTCGCACAGTCACCCGACTCGTCACATACCCGGATCCGCCGCACCACATAGTGCGGGTGCGCGTGCGCCCGTCCGTGGTGCTGCGTGAGCTGGACCGCATCGCCTACCGCCGCCGGCCCGCGCTCGCTGTCTCCGCCGTCGATGACTTCTTCAGGGCTGAGACCACGAAGGTAATGATATTTTTTTTTACGTTAGAAGGGTGGTAAACAAGCCTATGTCTCGCCTGCTGGTAAGCGGCCACCATAGCCTATAGACGCTTGCGATACCAAAAATATCACTCGCGCCGTTGCCTACCCATACCCAATCCCCTAACCCATGAAACCCAGGAACCTTACTCAACGACAGAAACACAACACCACCAAAAGGTAATAGACCGGGAGATGATGACACAAAATACTTGGTCATTTGTACCAGTATGGCGGTTCTTCAGGGGTCTAATTACGTAAAGGCAAAAAGGAAAATGATGGTCATAGCGCTCGCACCGGCGGCCCAATCGCGTGGGCGTTAATCGAACGCGTCGGATAAATAACGAGTGTCGAACGATTTGTTCCACAAAAATGCTTATATTTTCAGATAGTCGAAAAAAAGAAGTAGGCGGTAGCGTAATGCCATACTTCTCGGGTGTGACTTACAGCCCGCCATACCGACGCGAATACATTAATTTAAATAAAACAATTCAACCATTTGTACCAGGCTAATTTTTGCACAGCTAATCATCGTCGAGTAGCCATTCACGAAAATCACCTTGCCATACTTTTCCGACAGTTCCCAATGGCCGCCATACCGCTGCAAAGGAGTAATTTTTTTTTTTTCGCCAAATGATTTGTACCACCCTGAAACTTTTTTTAACAGTTCCCCGTATGATCATAAATAGAAGTCTGATAATGCCATACCTGTGGGAGGTGGCGAATGTGAACAATATTTTTTCAAAGTCCCAAGATTTTATTCGTAATTCGAACGATTTGTACCAGTATGGCACTAATTTTTCCTGTAAGTTTGAGGTTTAACGAATATAAATACAAAGTTTCAAACACCTAAGTGGCGGCAATCTTGTCTTATAAGCAGATTTTATGTTGTATAATATTCTGCGGTAAGCAGTGACGAAGACGAAGAAAACGAATTCGAAGATGCCGAGGATTCCGGTTCCGATTACATTTGAATTCCATGCATTTTTGTAAATCTTTCGGATTAAACTGCATTAATATTGATATTGCATATAATTTTTTTCACATGTACCCTTCACGATATTACAGGTGGGCTATTTCGAAAAAAGGTTTCAAGATTGTATTAGTTGTCGGCATATCAGAGCGAGTGTGGCAGCTCCAGCCCCCCTGGTCACGATATAGGCTTATTTTTTAACACAAAAAAAAAATCCGAAAATTATTTTTTCAAGTATGGCATCACTTTGGCACTTCTCCATGAGTACTGTGTAATTTTCCCAAAACTTAGTTGTTTTTTTCAAGTTTGGAAATGATTTAAAATGCCATATTTTTACAATTCGTTCCAATTTTTTTTTTTCATATCTTGCGCACAGGGTTATGTGTTTAACAGTCTATATATGTATGTTTGTTCCTTTGTGGCACACTAGAGACCAAACGCCTGGACTGATTTTGATGATTTATACATCAATCGATTCGTCTCAATCATGGAAGTGCTACTAAAGATATGATAGTAATCAAAATTCAATATAGGCAAAATTAGGCGCCATATTGCGACGAAATAAAAAAAATAAGTTGACAAAATATGTCGAGTGGGGTATCACTGTCTAGATAATCAAAAATCATATTTAGGTTCCTAACGCCTTTTTTCATTTTATGTGATTGTTTAGAATCTACAATGCTTCAAAAGTTGTATATTAACCACTTACGCTTTTAATTTCAATCTAACGTTTATATGGATCTTTGTTATTCTTTCACCTAAAAAATACTGAATGGATTTTAATGAAACTTAACAGTAATATAGCTCATATATGATAATAACAAATATATAATAATTTATGTAGTTATTGAGTGAATTGGCCAGTATATAACAATATAAAGTGTCACATAAGACGGAAAAAAATCTCCCATCTGCGAGCCATTTTGGCCTGCACTGCAAAAACAATAAAAGTTATATGAATGTAATGTAGAGTGAAAATGTATCTCATAAATAATTCTAAAAAAAGTCCGTGACACCATATATCTATTTTTAATGTGTGAGTCATTACCGCTAAAATAGTGAATCAAAACTAAAACATTATTTGATTTCTATTTCCAAAATGCACATTTTGATTAACAAATCATTTTTTATCAAAACAAATACTTTTAACGCTTTTGATATTTAAAGGCGATAAACTTTGCTTTTTACCCTATGTCCATTCTACAAATATTTAAAAAGTTATAACGATGACAAAGTGATAGCGCGGTGTACTATGTAAGAGAAAAAAAAATGGGGTATTCGCAGTATCTGATCCTATACGAAGTACTAACAATAAAACTGTGATACAGTTCCTTCTTATTAAATGATGAAAAATATATTATCATAATAGGTATTTTATTGAATTTTAATGAAAAACTCAGAATATTACTGTTTTTCATTTTTTTAACGATATTACTTAATCTTACAAAAAAGGTTTACTTAATATAATGACAAATAACCCAGTTTTCGCTAGTAAGTACATACTTATTGCAATCCCTGTATTAATTAATCAGCTCGCGATAATATTGGTTTTGTAATAATTCTGCAAAATTCAAAGTAAATAATGTAGATTTTTATAGGTATATCACCCCTTTCATCACCCTACGCCTTTAAGTATTGCGATGTTGTAGCTAAGAACCAAGTTCCCATCTACTTCTATATGGGAATTCATTATATTCGATTTAGCTATTAGGGCACGGAAGCGCCACAAACAAACTCACTTTCGCATCTATAATATTATACTTACTAGTGATCCACCCGGGCATTGTACGGGCGAAATTTATTTATCGGGATAAAACATAGCCTATGTCACTCGGACAAAATGTATTTAAATAAAGAAATGTGTAATAATAAATAATGTAGCTACCTTATGATGAATTAATATTTGAAACCGGTTCAGTAGTTTGAAAGATTATTTGTTACAAACATACAAATCTTGCCTCTTTATAATATTAGTATAGATAGTTAGGATAAGATAAGTATTTAATTGATGAAAAAGATTTAAAAATAAAGTAAGTAATAGGTTTATTTGATTATATTTGTAAAAGTTACATAGCATTTGTGCTTAACAGTGATACGTTATTCGGTATTTTTTTAAACAAAAAAAAATTTGGAAAATAATTGCCATGATTGCACTACTGGGAGTACTCTTCATTCGAGCTTGTTACCTGTTAAATGTGAACGCTTTAAAAGAAAACTACAAAGAGAACTATAAATTGATAATAAATGAGATTGCTATGGTGCTCTACCTAACGTTATGAAAATTTTATTATGCGCCTTTAGTTTAATCAAATATTATAAACTTTGCTTTGGTGATTGCATAATTATTTAATTTAGTGATCTAAGGCAGTTGCCACCATTGTCCAAAACAACAGACGGGAATTACTGCTTTCTTCAACCTGCGACATAAGCGTCATTCATTGGTATTGTATATAGGCTGATTAAAAACATTTGAAGTTAACTTATGGCATCTACATATTAGGTTTCTGTGAATTATGTAGGTATATCAAATTATGAGACTAGGGACTAACACTGAATTTGTGTATATCACAATCATAGACGTCCGGCATTGACATGACAATGCAGCCACTGCCAATTTTAAATAGTCGACGAATAAAAGTAAATGAATTTTATATTTACTGCTAAACTATTAAAAAAACATAAACAAAAGATGACTTTTTGAGTAAGTGCTAGTTTACTATAAAATTTACATACATTAGAGATATTTATGTAACGACTTGATTTAACTTCACACATTTTTGCGAAAATTTAGGCCCATCTGTAGCCTTGACCCCGCTGGTAAAGTCTTTATATGTCTTAATAAATCAATCTTTTAGACCGACGCAAGGTACTTAATAATTCCCGCGATATTAATTCCCTTACTGAAGTAACAAGACTACGGTATGTACCGTCTTAAAATACTAACTAACTAAAAAGTGTGAAATAAAAAAGGTAAATTTAAAAAATCAGAAAACCCGACTGCTTAATTATACTTCAAATAATAACTGAAAAGAAAAAAACAAGCCCAGTAGTCTATAATTCTGTTAATAAGGAACAAAGCTACTTTAACAGTCGGGACCCACTGTTTAAAAATATTATGTATTCTTGAATATCTAATGGGTCCCGACTGTTAAAGTAGCTTTGTTCCTTATTAACAGAATTATAGACTACTGGGCTTGTTTTTTTCTTTTCAGTTATTATTTGAAGTATAATTAAGCAGTCGGGTTTTCTGATTTTTTAAATTTACCTTTTTTTCCCTCTACTACAAGTATGGCAAATATAATAATGGTCACATTGTATCGTATAATTTCCAAAAATCCAAATGCCATACTGGTACAAATCGTCAAATTTTTTTTTCTTTTTCACCTTTTAGCTCAAGTCCGACAGTCATCCGCCCCATGTTTACAATCTGTAATAATTTTTTTTACGTACAATTGCATCCAAATGACGAGAATACAATGATGTCATGATGTAAAAAATGATTTTACGTATTTTGCAGTCGTATTTTTAAAACGTGTCAAATAAATAAGTATTTCAAGTATGGCAGCACTTTTTCCCCCTACTAGAAGTATGGGACAAATAATAACGGTCACATTTTACCAAATACTTTCCAAAAATTCAAATGCAATACTGGTACAAATCGTTTGGCGAAAAAAAAAAATTACTCCTTTGCAGCGGTATGGCGGCCATTGGGAACTGTCGGAAAAGTATGGCAAGGTGATTTTCGTGAATGGCTACTCGACGATGATTAGCTGTGCAAAAATTAGCCTGGTACAAATGGTTGAATCGTTTTATTTAAATTAATGTATTCGCGTCGGTATGGCGGGCTGTAAGTCACACCCGAGAAGTATGGCATTACGCTACCGCCTACTTCTTTTTTTCGACTATCTGAAAATCTAAGCATTTTTGTGGAACAAATCGTTCGACACTCGTTATTTATCCGACGCGTTCGATTAACGCCCACGCGATTGGGCCGCGCCGGTGCGAGCGCTATGACCATCATTTTCCTTTTTGCCTTTACGTAATTAGACCCCTGAAGAACCGCCATACTGGTACAAATGACCAAGTATTTTGTGTCATCATCTCCCGGTCTATAATGTTATTTTACTACAGTCTGGTGGTGATGATAAATGCATTTTTGATTTCGGCATACTAATACTCTTTCTTTCTTATACTTATCCCACGGTATAGCGCACAGAACATAGAAAGAGGTTATAAGGGCCTCGTGGGCGGGGCAGGCGCGCCACAGTTATGTGTGAGCAACTGCTTATAACCTGACCAAAACTTGGTTCTGATTGCGTCGTTGCTCTCGGGTGTGAGCGCCGATTGGTTCGATTGTTTGATGTCGAGTCGTTTGATTGGTTATTATCTATTATTAGGTGGATGTGTAGTGGGGACGAGCCGGCAACATCAACCCTGTATGAGAACCCTGCTAACCTCTTTCTGTGTTCTGTGGTATAGCGCACCGTTGCGTGCTCTGCTAGCACAGTAAAAGGTACATACGTATAGTTTCAGAAATTATGTATTTCTCAGGAATGCACCGTATTTCTAAGTAAATCTTCAGAATATCAGTCATCTGCGAAATGGGGATGAGATAAATGCTTCTTCAGGCATACCCCTCTCTATTTGAGAATCAACGCAAGCGTCAGACTTTATGCGAGCTAATTTGCGACTTTTACATGTCATTCAAGCAATCATTCCCGAAAATCATTTCATTTCACATGGTATCAAGTTCTAATAACTAAAAGTAGTACATTCTTTGTATTTTTCAGGCGTTCGAAGATGAGAGCCGTCGCATCCGCGCTGACACAGCCTCTCTACTGCAGCGGGCGCGCTCTGTACTTCCCCGAGCAAAGAGTTTGGCTCCCAGAGATACCATCTATTCGTGAGTATAATTTTGACAGATTACATTGAGACTGGGGGTTGCTTACACGCCTGTGTGTGTATTAGTCTAAGAGACCCACGACACTAAACCCGACACGACCAAAGAAAGGTGATTCATATCTTTGTCGTACTGTTCGTAAAGTGGAATTCTTTGCCCGCGCACATGTTCCCTCCTTCCTACAATCTGGGGTCCTATAAGAAAGGGGTGAAGAAACATTTTTGCAGGCCGGCAAGGTGAGGATGGTTGGTGTGGCCGTTTATAACTGCTGTACCAACTATCTTCGCGTTTGGTCTTTATCACCACTTAACATCAACCCGCATGAGCACCGCGATATGAAATATAATGCGTTTTTATCACACTCAATTGTCAAATTACTATGGAGTTTGACAATTAGACGCGATAAAAAACGTGATATAATGTAAATTGTAGTGCTCATGCTACTGGGGCAGGTGGGATAGAGTCACCTACTACCTGGTTATAAAATAAAAACCAAGTTCGATAAAACTCCCAGATGATATACATATATAATTTTAGTCACGTTATTAATAGGGTAACCAATATATATTCGGTTTCTAATATGAATCCCAAGTTTCGTTTGTTCCTCGAGACACGGAAGGGATAGGGTACTGCGGCGATCTACCCTGAAGGGGTAGGCCCTCGGAGCGTAGTTTTATCAAATGACAAACAACTAAGTAATATGTTTTAATATTTTTTTTTTTTAAATCAAGGCGAATATAATAATTATAGCTTAATATATAAGCGTATGCTGTGGTGCCTGATTTCTATCTCCTGGAATCTTCTATCAAACGACAGAAGATTCCCAATTTCAAATCTTTAAAAATCATGACATTACCTTTTAATATAACTGCCAGCCGTAGGCATTACATGAACAAAGACTTTACCCAAACAAGGAGGCTGTAACGCAACAGACGTTAAAGTACTTAGACGATTATATTACACTACTCTAATATATCCTCTAAAGGTAGAACGCTATACAATAATGCAGTGCTGCAAGCCCTCATGACTGAACTTCTCAGTGGCAGCAACATGAGAAGGGAATTATTTAGTATATACCCCAAACTTAGGAAATATGAATTATAATCGACCTCCTGAAAAAGCCCAATGCTCATCTGAAAGATCATCAATTTCTGTGGAAGAAACCCATGCAGCCGTATTTACCAAACAGCGGAATGAGGTTGCTGCAGCGACTGAAGGTTGCTCTCCACACAGCTGGATTCGGCGTATTATACGCAAAGGCGGCTTTAGGGAAGGGCATTATTCTTATAATTTTAATATACCTAGTGTCACACTTACATCTAAGAAGAATTTAATTACACATTTCTAGTCAAAATAAATCAAAATGTTTAGGCCACAGAGCATGCCAAACAAATAAATATAAATAGACTTGACATAATTATCCTTTTGGCGAAATCGGGTAAAAAGGGGCCCGCAAAGATCTGCCGCCCGGGGCCTAGCAATTCCTAACCCTGATTATACGGCTCGCTCCGATATATAATAATAAATAGAGCGTCGACCCCTGCTGTTTATCAAGGTACACCTCCAGATGTCTGGTACGAATAAATTACTTTTCGATTACATAGCACTTGAGTAAAAATCTATTTGTAGTTATCAAGCGCTCAATGTAAGACTATTTGTTACCTGGATTAAATAAATATCACACTACATACAATGATTTTAACAGTGTTATATTTTGTGTTGTTTTGATATTTGGCGTATAAAAAATCGCGCTTGATATGTTCGGTCTAAGAATTTGCCTGACTTCCTGGTATTTCCGTGTCCCAAGACGTGAAACTTATGGTCTTGTGACCAAAAACCCTGAAGAGTGTAGTACAAAACAAGAGTGTAGCACAGGGCCGGGTTTGAGGCAGGGCAGGCTGTGGCCCAGTCCCCCCAGAATGAGCACAGCCTTATATAACGCGTTTTTATCACGCTCAATTGTCAAATTACTATGGAGTTTGACAGAAAGACGCGATAAAAAACGTGATATAATGTAAATTGCAGTGCTCATGCAATGGGGGCAGGGTCCCCTACACAAGAGATAAAAAGAAACAATTTTCAAAAGGATCACCAACCAAACAAATCGTAAGTGGCCCGGACCAGATTTAGGGGCCGCCACTCCTTCGTACCTCCAGGGCCTCCAAACCTCTAAAGTCAAATTAATATCACCAATTTCTTAGAAATTGAAATGGTAACTCGAGTACTAATGATGAAAGGGATTTCAAAATATAAGTTAACATAGATACACAATATTTACATGGGTAGCTCTAAGAAAAATTCCAAGCTACGCCGATGATAACAAAGGGAAGCCAGTGTAAGGAAGACAGGTGAGATTAGGGGATGATGAACAAGACCAACCTCGCTCATTGGCATTTGTCATTAGGGCTAGGTCAAGTTTTTATCACGCTGATGTAACCGTATAAAAATAAGCCATTGATGCGAATCAACCGGCCGGCATCTGTTGGCACTGACATTGATGGCACACCTGTCTCAAGTAATTTGGCAATGATGACCCTATGTCACTACTGTAGAGGTGACAATCGTAAGTCTCTTAAATGAATAGGCGATTTTTCCCAATGAAACACCAGAATTTTTAAATGATGATTGATACTTGGGTAATCATGTCCAAGCCAAATTTTGCACTCGCTCTCTTTACGTGTTACGTAGGACCCGACCCAACCCAACACGAACCGATCACTGATATAATTATAGACTGGTTAAATGCCAGCTGATGTTAGCAGTGTGGCATTCTAATAAAATGTTTAACGACACACAATTTCATTCTGAAATCTTCGTAGTTTTTATGAAGGGTCATTAAAAGGGGCAGTTATATCTCTAGTTAAAGGTTGTTTTCTCGATGTATGTACGACGTGATTATCAAAGAAAATATCTGGTTTTGTCGACAGCTATTCTTACGGGGAGCCTGTACCATACCGATTCAGCAATGACGCGTACATCGCCAGATTGTTGGTGCCACTACGCAGCGTGTATGACAACATTCACAATATCTCATATTACAGTGAGCCCGCCAAGAGGTTTACCGGTATGTATGGAACAAAACAAACAGAATATGACACAAACAGAACAACTTCCACAACAACAATATCAAGTACTTACACTTATTTAGAAATTACTATAATAGTTTCTAAATAATTGAATTTTCTATAACTTTTCCTTGTTTTTATTTTCACCTGGTCCGACTAACATTAAAGTTCCAGTGTGCGTGACCCTGTGGTAACAGTGAGGTATTTTCGCCAGGACGCGGTAACCTCGCTTGCGTGCACTACTCCGGTAAAAAGGCCTTCTCCAATCGCTTACCCCTCTACAAGGAAATGAGCATCAGGGACGACGTTAACCTGCTCTCGTTTTATGCGAAGAACAGGCTCGCAGCCGCCGGGCTGGCCGTCGAGAGCGCCACAGGTACCACGTCATCGTCGCATCGCTAGCGCCCGCTTCGATCCTTCGCTTAATTCTGTTAAAACGAATTTATAATAAAAGAGTAAAAATGATCGCTAGCTAAGTGTACGCTCCGGCATATTGTTGTCAGGGGTATAAAGCAGTTCTAAAATGGAGTATAAAGTCCGTGTCTAACACTGTGTGTGGTGTCTCTTGCAGCGGGCGGCGCGCCGGAACAGCCGACGGCGGCGCAGTGCGCGTAGCTCCGCCCCCGCTCGGCCGCGGCGCGGCGCGGGCGCACGGCTCAGCATCGCCGTCGCCTGCGCCCGCGCCGCGTACGCTCTTCGCGCTCTCTGATCTCGGTATAACACGCTCCCACTAACCAAGATCGTAACAATTATATTTTTATATTCTACTTTTATTCGAAGATCAATTATATTTTGTTATCTCTTTTTACGACTCACGACGAACGATTTGAAGTTAATTACTTTTCTAGTCATCGCTGTGATAACGTTGTTGTCTACGTCGAAAATACGTCGGTGACCGAGACGTCTCGATTTCACTTAACAGAACTGATTTTATTTAACATTAAAGGATTTTTACCGAACTTTTATAGTTGTTTTAATTTGCACGTTAGTTGTCCTGTACTCACGCTTCGATCCATACGCTTATTATAATGCTTCGCTTTGTTAACTAAAACTCTGAATTTACAATCCTGTTAATAAATGACACTTAGTACACTTGGGATCGTGTATAATCCCCAAACCCTGTTTGTTACTTTACTACTTAGAGAGCACATCTTACATACCTATCTATTCATAGACCTCAAATTGACACTTAAACACAAATGTATAAAATACATTTTCATACTCTTCTGATGAATAGGCTACACAAGCATTATAGCATGAGCGAGCAGCACGGGTGATTACGATTAAACACCATAGCGACGTCCATATTATGGTTTAATAAAGCTTTGCCATCAAGCTTCAGGGGCTCTTAACTGCTTAGTGATGGCCGTCACGGTCGTGCGTGCTGCTGCAAAGCTTGTTGTTCACAAAAAGACCATTGAGTTTGGTTCGAGAAGGAATGATTGGTCTTTCCAAAAACTACAGCAATAGGAAACCGACTAATCATTTCGGCAATGGTCGTTCCGAGTTCGAGTGTGGGTAACATTGGCCTCGGGTGCAGTGAAACTGCTTCCGTGGAGGCCGAGCCGCAAGTTCCAGGCGCCGCAGGTCATGGAAGACCCCGCCCTGGAGCTCAAGGCGGCGAAGGCGGATCGCGAGGCGAGATTCCGCGCGACCACGGCTGAGCCTGTGCTGGCTCCAGCTGCTGATTTAGCCGAAATCAAGAGGAAGAGGCAAGAAGAGGCTCGTGCTGCTGAAGAGAAGTAAGTATATAGTTTAACGCCGCATACTGGCTGGTAGCCTAAAATAGAATCAAGAAAGATCGCAAAAAATAGATAAATAATATTTAAACTTTTTAATTCCGTGGTTTTCCCACCAAATAATTCTCCAATAAATTCACACTTTGTTTGAAACAAAGGTCAAGTAGTTCTCTAGAAATAATATGATCAATTGTATAGTTTGTTTCGCAACTTTTTGTTTTAATATTTACCTTTACCTAATTTATTTGTTGCAGAGCATTGAAAGAAGAAGCTAAACGCGAAGCAGAACGTAAAGCTCAGGTAATTAAAAAAATCAAAGTTTTACAAATCGCTATACAGAATAATCTGAATTTTAATGTAAAATAAACAATTAAAAATGTTTTAGGCGGAGCGTGAAGCAGCTGAAAAGAAGAGAGCTGAGGAGGAGGCGCGCAAAGCCGAAGAAGCAAAACGTAAAGCCGAGGAAGAAGCCAGGAAAGCTGAAGAAGAAGCACGCAGAGCTGAAGAGGAGCGCCTGGCAGAAGAAGCTCGTTTGGCGGAAGAGGCAAAACTAGCAGAGGAAGCCCGCTTGGCAGAAGAAGCCAAGTTAGCCGAAGAAGCACGGTTAGCCGAGGAAGCCAGGTTAGCAGAAGAGGCCCGGCTAGCTGAAGAAGCGAGGTTGGCGGAAGAGACACGGTTAGCAGAGGAAGCCAGATTAGCAGAAGAAGCACGACTAGAAGAGGAAAGGCAAGCTGAACAGAGACGGCAAGAAGAGCTAGCTCGATTGGAAGAACTGGAGAAACAAGCCGAGGAAGAACGTGAAGCAGAACTCGCACGACAGGTATGGTCATCAGCATTTTATTGCTCCGGTACTGGAGCACAGACTCTCTTAAAGTATAGGTAAACAGGTAGTGGGAACTATTGACTCATAATGCAGCCGTTAACAAATGTGAACGAGAAGGAGCTTTTGAGAACCCTAACTAAGATCTGGAATTAAAGATACTTACGAATACGCCAAAGAACACACATTTATTTATAGAAAAAAAATAATTTCCCAGCTACAACTCTATAAACGCACTATATTTTAACAGGCTGCTGAATTAGCAGAAATCGCAAGGCAAGAATCTGAATTAGCTGCCGCCCGCTTGGAAGAACTTTCGAGGAGTGGATCTGCCGCGGACAACGTCGCTGAAGCCGATGCTAGGTAATCCTACATTTCTTATTCTGATAAATTCACAAATTATATTGATTACAATTACAAATTAAAGATCTCAGTTTAAAAAAGTATATGAAGGTAACAAAAATATTCTTTAACACAATCACTTTAAATTCGATTAATACGGTTTATAAAATGAAAATTTAATTAAAGTTGGAAGACAATCATACTTGCCTGGTCAAGAGGCAAGCAAACAGACTTTGGTGATATATATATATATAAGGGGACAGAATAGAGGGGGAAAAGTATTCAAGCCTGACAAACATTGAGAAAGGATGTTACGTGAATCCTCCAGTAGTACCTATTCAAAAGACTACCGATTTGGACGCGCCGTACGCAGAGGGTCCTCATGTTAATCTGCCGCGTTCGAAAAAATCCAATAATCTCCGCTTGGGCTCCCCTACCATAAGCAAAAGGCTCAGCTGTTTACTTCAGCGGCTAAAGCAATGTGCGTGATGTTGCTCAATATGTATTTATCTATTTTCGTTTTTAACAGTGAAACTGCTGCTGACGAGCCTGAACCAGTTGTAGAAGAACCAGAGACTCCTGAAGCAGCCCCCGAGGAAACCGCGGCCGAGGCAGAAGTCAGTGAAGATGAGCAAGCAGAACCGGATGTTACTGATGAAGAATAGTCTATTTCCACTAAGAACGTTTCAAAACATGCATTTCAATCCATCACTCACACAGGCTAAACGTCATTTGTGTATCTAAAATAATGTAGGATAGACATGAATGTCGTGGTAGCTTTATCATCACATCTCTGTCTACATTGCCTTTCCTTTGCATATAAAAATTATGCAAATGTGAAAGTTAGAAGAAACATCAGAACAATGTTGTTTTCATGATGTCACTCAGCTTACATTAAATAAAGATAAATTATTTAGAAATAAAATTAAATACACTAAAAATACTTCTACTAGGTTAAGTGTTTTATAATGTTATATTTTGTTAAATTTTAACAATAAAAGACAATAACAAAATGTTTATGCTTCTTTCATTTGCGTTTTATAGTGATTGCAAATTAATTACTTGGATTCAAAATAAAACCATTCATAAACAGTGATTTAAATAACTGCTTTTAAATAAAGCTCAAAGCTGCAGACTAGTCTGCTCTTTACTTGTTGGTTCAGAACCCTAAAAGATTTACTGAATAATTTTCAACATATTTAATTAATTAATAAAAAATAATTACTGTAAATACTCCCAATTATTGTTAAAAATTATTCATAAATTAAGATAAATTCCAGACACGAAGATACCTGATACAGCACTTATTAACTACCACACCAACCATTCTCACCTTGCCAGCCTGCAGAAATGGTTTATGACGACTCTCTAAAAGGACCACAGTAGGAAGGGGGAAACATGTGAGCGGACAATAATTCCACTTGCAAATTGTATGAGTACTATGATATTGTATTCATTACATAAATACTTGAATCATTATATTTTATTTGAATACATTTCCCAAAAGCTCTGCATAGTTATGTTTTAAAAATTGTACAGTTTAGAGAAATAAAAATGACATGAATTAATTCAGTTTTTTTTAAATTGTAAAAAAATGTCTAATGATTTGATGTGTACCTACTCTACTTAAATGTCTTCCTTAATGCATCCTGGCAAACTTCTTGAGCAATGACCATAGGCAAGTAAGGCTACACTGTAGCAATTTTACATACAAAAATGGTGTAGTGCGTAAGTTTAATTTTTTGTGGTTTAGCTAAAGAAGTTTTGTGCGATTTAATTTTATACTGAAATATAGCGTTGACAGGCAACCAGATAAAGCCAGACATAATTAGGCATTTTGATTGCATGTTTAGCATAAAGAAATGGTGTCAGGCTTTTTACATTTCACAAACTCAGACCAAATAAAAAGTAAAGACGGAGTCTGCCGAACCAAAAAGTGAAGCCGGTTTTTTATGTATGTAGTGCATTAGCCAGTGTTACCATAGTCATATAAAACACCCCAATATTAGAAAAATGTAATAACGTTAATCCATAACGTTATTAATAACGTTATAAAATATTAGAAAAAAATATCGTAAGCTTATTCTCTAAACCTCTCGTGAGCCAAAGGTCATGCGCCGTTCTCACCTACAAGTGCCGGACTTCTTTATGGACCGCCCGCCCGTGGGTGGCAACGATTGCATTGTTCTGCCGATTTCTCTGTTATTTTGTAAAAATACCCTTCACAAACGTATATTTGGATTCTCCATAAAATTTTCAATAAAACAGTGTGTACACAATGCGTCATGTCTATAATTTATTTTAATTACATTATGGTAAACTCAGGAAAGATAAAAAAAGTCGTTTAAATAGGTAAAATGAGGTATATTTTCAAAATTTGCAAATTATAAATCCAGGTTTTTGTACATATAGAATGTACTATATATAAATGAATGTATATAATAACTTACCAAATACAATAGGGAAGATGCAATATTTTTATTTTTGTTTTCATTTTAAAGAATTCCATGTAGAATAAACCACAGATATATTAAAAAATTAAAACATTGTGATTTATCGGAAAAAATGCGGTTTTAAATTGACAATTTAAATTTTCGCGCGAAAACGAACCTATGGATGCGATGACGTCACTCCTGTCTGTCACTGGTCGTAATTGTTCGTTGCTGGCTTTAAAATTTCATACTTTTGCATATTTTTGCGACTTTCGAAATATTTTTTTGAAAAATTTAAAATGTATCCATCCATCAACATCTCAAACTCGACCTTTTACTGTACATCATTTTCCATCTCTTTTAATTTGGACATAGCCGATTGCATTATCGCCGTAAGATTTGTAGAAGCCGCTGAATAAAATACGAAGTCTAACAACTACGATTTTTACATACCGTAGTAATTTAGTCCCTTTCATTTCTAAACTTAAAAACTCTGCACTTTGGACAAAAAAAGTTATAACCATGTCAACGCTAACTCTTGGTAAATTCCTGGAGTCTGCTTTGATAAACGCAACTTTCATTTTTATTAAATGTAAAAAAAACGCAATAAATATTCCCATAAAATAATATTTACTTTAACAACCATAACCTCAAAGAAGTTGTCATAACAGGAGTGACGTCACTAAACGCTGATTGGTGTTTTAAAATACGTTCCGTTTCAAGTATTTTTAATTCGTAATAATTGTTAAAAAACAACATTATGTAAAATAAAAACGTTGCAGTGGCATTTATTTTATATTTTTTTAACATTTTAATCATAAAATTTTCATAAATATTATATATGCATCTTCCCTATTATAAAATATAACACGCAACAGAAAAAAAAGGGTCGTGTTTCAAGTGTTGATAAAAACAAATGCGAGATCCAAGTGCCTTGATTTATGTGTTGACGTTTAATTATGTTGGATTGTTTATTTTACTTTAGTTACAAGTCTCGGATGGAATAGGTTTGTACATTTTATAGTTTCAAGCACTCGCAACAAGGCACTTGAAATCGCTACCAAATCAGTCATCTCAACTTTATGTCGATAAAACGAAAAGCATATACAAATGTTGATAAACAGTTTCTTTTATTAAAATGTACATAAAATTTTCTATAGAAGACACAAAATATAATCACTAGTTCCTATACAAGAACATAATAAAATAAATCCACAAACATCGCGAATTTTGGGTCAAAAAGGCCATTAAAAAGTAGATGCATCTTAAAACGGTGTGCACATTAGATGAGGCATTTTTCTAGTGTGCACAGTTGCGGTCAAGGTTGAGTTTAAAATTAGCTAAGTACCAAATTAACATTATTTTTACTATTGTACTAATACTTTTAATGAACAATGATACTTAATTCAAGTAAGTTCGCTTTAATTTAGTAGCATAATACGGCAAAATGGGGAAACTGAAGCAAGTAGTTCTACCACAACATGATAGATGGTTGGACTTGTACAAACAATAAGCAGTTAGCAAATAAATTATTGGAATCTTTAAAATATAAATTAATCTAAGTAACCATAATAATAGTAAAAAAAATACCTTTGGATATGCATTTTGTTTTACACGACGTAACCCTTTTGTTGTGTAGTACAAATCGTCGCTCTGAAAATGAGTCGAACAAACCACGCTGCGGGAAGCTGGTTGCCACAATGGTTCATTTCTACTCTTACGAATGACTGCAATCCACTTCTCTTTTAGATCTTGATCTCGATTAGGAAATCTTAAAAAAAACGTATAATATATAATATGTATTACATCCCAAAAAATTTATACGAATACATAAAGAAAAAAGATGTTTCGTGTAATTGTTTATCCATGCCACACAATGTATTTAATAAAATAACGTTACGTTATATTTCACGCTACCCAACAAAAGGGTAAAACTGTAACGAATAATCATGGCAACATTTCGTTCAGGTTTTGTTTACAAAGCGACAACCTCAAATTTGATTTTGATTAATTGAAAATAGCAGTTTATAACTTTACTTACGTATGAAATGTGATTCCATCCTGTTTTTTATTCTTGGAAGATTGGTTTTTACACGTTTTCACTACACAATTCGGCATTTTCTCTAATAAATATTGTTATTTATTATTACGTCACACTCCGCGCGTCGGGATAGCTCGACTGAGAATCCAAGGCGTAGTTTCGTTGCATGTGTGTGCGTGTAACTGTGTATGTACACGGCGAGGCGTAGTTTTATCGGCTTCACTTTTTGGTTCGGCAGACTCCGTCTATACTTTTTATTTGGTCTGAGTTCACAAATGAGCAAGCGCTGAGTATACCCAAACACAACCAAATTGCCTGTTGGTTGCTTTAACATACAATTTTTTGTCATACCTAATATTACTGAGCAACCAAATCCTTAATAATGTAGTGTCCAGACTTTTTACCCAAATTTCTGTCTGTCTGGCTATTAGGTCTGGCAACCTAGCCACCCTACACAAATGTGTCATGCCATTTCTTGTATCTACTGTAAAATTTAAAAAATATAGCTTCAGGATGGTTTATAATTGAAACTACATGTTAAGTAACATAAAATCTATTTACATAAATAATAACATAGTTTGCGTACCAATCATAATATGTCCATCTCATTGATTTTTCCAGCAGTTTTCGCAACATCTTCCTTTGTTACCTTCTTATCTGTTTTTCTGTCTAAAGGTTTGACTTTAGATATGTTGCTATTATTGGGTGAGGAGGAATTTTTATTAGCATTTAAGAATTGTTTGTCTAAGTCGACTACTTTTTGTTTTATCTGAAAATCATAAAATATATAATCTGAAGATGTATATCATACAGTCAAACAACAAAATCTAGAGTAGAAGATATAACAGAAAAATTCAACAGGTTTGCTGCTTAGATCAATCAATTTTCATCTGAGGTCTGCTGATGGTTTCAGTATTTGATAAATCAGATATAAATTATGAAAACACATATTTTACACTCTACGACTAGGTAAAAATAGGCATGTTTATGAGCAAGGAAGCTGATAATTTCAATGATTACATGCTTACATCTTTTAATCCTAAATTCACTGCTTTCGCCTTAGATTTCTTTAAACTCTTTGCTCCTGCTACTTTAAAAACATTTGCCTTTGGTCCTTTCTTATTATTTTTACCCATAATGCTTTCAAAAAATCGCTATTTAGTCTTTATTCTTTATTTACAAACAGGAATAGGTTATTTTTAAATGAAGGCAATGCGTATGCGACGTGAACGCTACCGAGTTGGGATGGCGTTCTGAAATCGATTAATCGAAGAATCAATTTTTGGAGCCAAAATGATTGATTTTATAAATCGATATGTTGTACTGAATTGATTCAGTGAATCGATATTTCACCCTTGAAAATCGACATTCGATTTAATTTATTTTTTTTGGTATAAACTAAAAAGGTATTTACTATTATTTGAATGTACTCGCAAAGCGTTGTTAGGATAGGTAGATCGCTTTTTACTTAACTGCGGTGCAGGTGTGGTGCGGTTGTTGTGCTGTGTATTGTGTACCAGCTGGTCACGTGATATCTGAAAAATCGCGAGAAAGCAAAACATGGTAACGCGATTCACCAGTGCACCTCAGATAAGTACAAAGCGATCTATTACCTATCCTAAGAACGCTTTACCCGTTATAAGAGTGCTGCCGGTTATAGGGTTAATTATTAAAAAAATGGGTGCGTGTACTTATGTAGGCGCGTGAGAAGTTATCCTTCTTTGGCATCGTTTAAAATTACTTTTTAATTGCATGCAAATAATTAATTACAATAAATTAATAAAAAGTCTGGAAAAGGACACAGTCAATAAAGTTCAGTTTTAATTTGAAAAAATAAATAAATAATCAAAATATTCAATTAAAATCGCTACTGAATATAATTTATTAGAACATATGTGATTTGCACTTGTATGAAACTCAAACACGTATTCCGAATATACAAACTAGAAACATGTGGATAAATATTATAAATATGAATACCTATAACTGTTACTTTATTACAAAAAATAAAGATGTGGGTTTTGGTTCTACTACACCAATGGTCAAGAGATGGCGCTGTAGTCTCCTGAATCGCGCTTTGGTTCCGTTGTTCCAGATTAATAAATACTTTTGATATTATAAATATGAATACCTATAACTGTTACTTTATTACAAAAAATAAAGATGTGGTTTTTGGTTCTACTACACCAATGGTCAAGAGATGGCGCTGTAGTCTCCTGAATCGCGCTTTGGTTCCGTTGTTCCAGATTAATAAATACTTTTGATAGGCCTTCACAATGCAGTCGTTAGCACCCACTAAATAGAGATTCTATTTTGTTGGTAGATTTTCTTAATGTGCGGTAAACACAAAAGTACTTCTTAAGTACCAACTTCATGCTGTTAATTTTTGTGTTACAGTGATGCGCGCGCATCTTAAAATTTCACTCTCATCATTTTTTCATAACGCGCCTAAAGAAGTATAACTTCAAAAACTCGCAAGATGGCTGTATTTTTAAATTCCTTAGCCTCTCTTTAATAAAAAAGTTACGTTTGTTTGTAATCTTTCAATATAAATATTTTTATCATCGAATTAACTGATTTTACTGATAAGAGATCGTTAAATTATAATATGTATCTTATTTTTAATAAAATAGATTTAGGTTACATTATAAACAAAAACTTGAAAAAGAGATTGATTTTTAAGAAATCGATATTATTGACCTCGATTTTTTTGTGGATCGATTCATTAGGTCATGATTCGAAATGATATAAAAATTAGATATTTTTCGGAAAGAATTGTCATCTCTACTATCTAGTACGATTTGGGGTGGATTTGGGAAGCGTTATGCTGGCAGTTCACATGGCTATTAGATTTTTTCTTAATTTTTTCTTGGCTTTGCACGATCGTCTGTGAGTATTTGTTGTTTGTAAACTTGACATCAGTCTCTCCTTCTTATTCATTATAGAGTATGGAAAGAACATACTGCTGTGAAAATAACAAAATAATAGTAAATAAGAACAATTATATGAAATACCAGCAGAACATTACTAAATAGGGATGTACAAATGGATTTTTGTATCGATAGATTTTTTTATATTTTAATTAAATAGTGTGATCTTTTAAAATTATCAGTTAGATTTCAATAGATCAATCATTTATATGGTCTGTCTTGTGAATCGTGACCCTCCTATTTTTGGAAGTTTTGAATATGGAAAAATTGGATTTATCACATTGACGTTAGGAATAGGCAAGTTGCTGTTGCGGTTTTTAATACTATTGTTTATTTGGGTTTTTTATTTCTTTTACTATTATCATTTGCATGGTTGTTGGTTTATTTCAGAAAGTGTAGACAATGTACAATAAAAGAAAAGATGAAACACTTAATTAACCCTTGGTTTACCCGGTGACTTAATACATACACATTTTACCCGGTGGAGTATCCAGGACTCCCGGGTTTTAAATCGTAAATATAATAGGAAATAAACCATTTTTTTAAATGAAATGCTAGTTAAATTTGCTTTTTATGTATTTGGTTTTACATTATCTTAACTTTATAGTTAAAATCAATCAATTACAGTCTTTTATTAAGGAACTTTTAGATAATCGCACTTTTTGTAACAAAATTATGAGACCTATCTTCTAATGTCAACATTTCAAAAACAAATCAATATTATAAAGTAATCTTCAAAGAAATATAACAAAAATATAAACAATTCTTATAAAAAGTAAAAAAGAACATGGTTTGAACAAGAGAGAAAAAACGTGCAAGACCTTCTAGTCACGGTTGAAGTCACAGTTATTGCATACTTTTTTGTATAGCTGAGGCACACAGGCTTAGTACAACTATGGCAAATATATGAAGTCGTCTATATTTGAAGTCAAGCATCTTCATCAAGGACGTTTATACAACTACGAGACGCCATTATATCAACTGAAAGTAAAAAAAATCACAGTTAAAAAAAATGGTTGCCTGTAAAGTCGGTTTTACGGGCGAAGATTTTACGTGACAACGTCTTTTTCTCGGTAGAATATTTATTGATATGAATATAATTAAATTGCACAATAGGAACAAGGAATTGAATGAAAATAAGAATTGCACAAATTTTAACTATAGAAATATATTTTGTTTACTAAAACATTGTACATGTAAACTTAAACTTAACACGAGAGACTCATCGTAACGTTACCGAGCGTTACACTTTTTCATAAGTGACTCCCAGCCGCAACCTAATTTAAGACGTTGTCACGTCAAAATACCGTACATAGACTAAAACTATAACATTGATACCCCGCTGGAGTCCCACGGACTCCACTTGTGTGATTACTTACCGATAGAAGCCACGCACGGCAACGTCTGTTCCACCCCGCACTCGGAGCGTCACTCCGTGAAGGTATTGGAACGCACAATTTGTAATTCCAAAAACTAACGATTTTATGAGCGCGGAAAGTTTTCATTGAAGTCCCAGGGACCTACCGGGTAAATTAAGAGTTAACCTTTCAATATGTAGTGCAACAAAGGAGTTGTTGATACACGAGAAGAAATAGTTTAAACAGATGCCATCAATGACAGGTATTTTCCTATTAATTAAAACTAAAAAATATATGAAATAAGGTAATATATTTCATGTTATCTACTATGAACATCATTTTTATTTTCATTTTGTTTAGTGTTTTAATGATTACTTATAAGTTATATGATCTCAAATTGTTATTATTATATTTTATCGTCTTCATCATTAAAAGTACTTTTATTATAATTTGAAATGCCCTTAGGACAAGTCTCATGTTTGCAATCCAATATTAGAGTGAAGAACTGAATTTAACTAAAATGAACCAATAGATATTATGACTAATGATTTGTTTTTTTTTTATTTATTATTTTTCATCTTCAAATATTAACTTATTGAATACTTTTGTTTAAAGAAGTTTATGGAGTTTTCATTTGAAATTGATTGTATAGTCACTATTGTCCACACTATTTGCTTATGTAAAGATTAATATGTATAGTACAGAACTTTTACTTATGTATAGTGTTAAATGGTTTGCACTAACAATAGTAAATATCGACTTCATGTAAACAAAACCACAAAAAAAATTGTGTGTCAGCTCCGACGCACGACCGGAGTTTACACTCTAAAAACGATTGTCTTTGAACAGACACAAAACAAAATCAAGTCCGAAGAAGTCGGTTACAAGTAGAGATACCTCTGGAATCGTCCCATGGTTTCGACTATCATAGATTCCATGTCACACATTTTATCATCTAACATCAGCGATATTCATCATATATTTTATTATGTATTTCTGGAAACACACAATTTCAAAAATATCACACACTAGTCATCATTTTGTAAATATGTATTATAATTCCATCTGTACTGAAAATCACTATTCCAGAGTGCTGGACACTTACCAGCATTTCTCGATATTCTGTTATTTTTTTGTTTTCATTAATTTTGCTCCGATTTTATCTATTTTTAGTTTATTTATTTTATTGACATTTGTGATAACTTAATGTTTTTTATGATGATTATGATGAGATGAGGTTGCGCACAAAAACGTAACGAGGTCATTAATGTCATTCATCGATAGATTTTACTCCTCACATTTTTCTCATACCGGGCCCCCTATATATGCAAATCGATTCTTAAGGAGTAAACTCCAAAAGAAATAATACTTAATGATCCTTTAATGGTGCTTATATTATTTATTAAAATCAAATCATCAAAATCCATCTGCAAATCTCAGACTTATGAGGTAACAAATATTCCCTCCTTTATTAAAGTCGGTTATTTTTTTTTGTGTTTAAAAAATTATTTGTTACTTCGTAAGTTTAATCAAAATGTTAATTTAAAGTATCAAGTCTATTTTGTCCGTAACAAATTAATGTTTACAGTTACAGAATTTTTAAATTTGCCGCTCTTTTGGAGGTTAACGATGCATTTGACAGACGTATAACATCCTATATTATAACTACCACGGACCAATAATAATAATATTGGTCAAGGTAAGTACTAAGTAATAGATGGACCCAAATATCGTCAAGATGGAGGACCGTATTTTTAGTTTGTTTCCAAAATAAAAAATATTAATACCTTTACACATGCCATATTGGCATGGACCTAGGATTTCGCTACGTTTAAGAGTGCGACCAAAACCAAGATCTTTATGAATGTGGCGAAAACTCAAAATTGGAACAAGTTGAAAGGTTACATCGTAGTCACAGCTAGGGATACCGAAAGTGAAAAAAATATTGATATATCAAACAATAAATATCGATACATCGATATATTTTCAGCAAGCCTATTCAGAGCACAGTTTAGTTATCTTGACATCACAGATAACCAAGAAAAATATTTTTGAAGATTTGACATCCAATATTGATATTGATGTGGGTGTTTTTGATTTTGTAAACTAAATCGAACTACAATTTAAATATTTCATAAGTTGTCCGTTTTCGCCGTCAAAATTGCTTTTTATCCAAAATATAACGGAAACATATCGAGCATGGCTAAGGTAAGGATATGCTGGTTAACGCCTGATTATTTGATTTCTTTCAATCGGATAATAAACCAGAATTCTGATGTTAATGTTTTTATTTGCATACTTGATTTTTCTGGTTATTAAAGCCAGGTTATCTTGAATAAATTACACCTGTTATTCAACTATTATTAGCAACCGATACCGAGTGTCTCAATTACTTGAGAATAGTACTGTTTTGGCCCCAACTAAAGTGCTTTTTCTCGTGAAAAATGGGTGAAAACATAGAAGAAGCTGTGAGTAAACCACACTTTTTGAAAAATAGATTTGGGACAATGTTTTAGTCTACTGATACCTACTAATACAAATGTCAAAGTAGCATTGTTTTCTAAATGCTATTCCGATTTAGATGTATTTGAAGCAGAGAAAGTGAGAACCCAAGAGGAGTTCATGGGATCTAAAACAACCCATGTTTTAGATAATGCTGGTACCAATCCCACCTGACTCCTGGGACAAGTGCAATGTTTTAAGGAATAATTTACGAAGCTAGAATAGGGTCAAGTAGGGGAAGAAGTTTTGCATAAGAAACCAATTACTATTGCAGATGAAGCATAGAGGAACAAAGATGCAACATGGAAGAGAGTAACAATATCCAGTGCCATTCAGATTTTCCCATAAATTTTTGAGATGATTATTTATTAGGTGTAATAGGGAATATGCATGTTTTTTCTTTTTATTTAGTAGTTTACATCTTTATATAGTATAAAAAAATCTATTTTGAAAAATAGTAGTGTCTAAACAAAGGTTAATAATAGCCACTTTACACGGGCAGTTTAAATGCGTGCTATTTCGAACACTTGGATGTGACGTCACAATACATCTTAACCTACAAATAAGATGCTGACATTTTATGTTCTATATCTTCACTGGGGATTGAAGTTGGAACCTATGTCAATCAAATAGATATAAATTTTCATATATTATTGTTAAAAATTTAAATGTCAATTAAAAGTTGCATTCAATGTTTAGGTGAAATTAGGCTTTCACATCGACGCACTTACACTATAATATCTTTGACATTGGCATATCCTGTTTTTTATTTAGAAATACATGGATATTCCCTATTGCTATTATGCATTCACATAAAAAAAAACCAACACTATAATCTCTGCACTAACACATGAACAATACCATAATGCCCTGCAAATCTTTTTCCCTTTGTTATATCATTACATTCAATTTGGCATATACTTTAACGGAAAGGTTGCATATGGCCACTTCCATGTTTATTGAGTTGTGGTGCTCTATGAGACAAATTAATGAGCACACACTAGTTTTATTTTTATCTGTTGCACTCTAAAAATTTGTGGAATTTATAAGAAAAAAAAATGCTGATTGGTCAAAAACTAATTCAATGGTTTAAAATATTCTCGCTTTAGCTTTAAAGCAAAAAAAAAGAGTTTTTTTTTAAATTTTTTTGATATATTTTAACATTCCTGACAGTGGTTTAGCTGCCAGACTTTTTTAATATTTCCTTAGACTAATTACTGAACATTAATCTGAGAATATTTCCAAAATATTAAATGCCTATCAAAGAACTTATTTTCTTTGAAGTTTTTGAATAGTACTTGAAAATATTCTACCGCAATTTTCTTATTACAGCCAGTACTTTATTCGTACTGGCGAAGCTCATGCTCGTGGCGCGTCCGGATCGCGCTGAACCTCAAAGAAATACCATATGACATCAAAGCTGTCAGCCTGATAAAAGGTGGCGGGGAACAACACTGTAACGAGTACCGAGAAGTGAACCCTATGGAGCAAGTGCCATCATTATGTATAGGTAAAGTAAAAAACTTGACGATGACAATTATTTTAACAAAAAGAGGGCGTCTATAACGATGACTGTAATTACTAAATTGTGAAAGAAAGAAATAATTAATTTCAATTTTCAAAAGTAGTTATCACGTGCTACTTATTTTAATCACTGCAATCAAGAGACTTCACATAATGATTAAAGGTGATGCTGGCACTTTCTTTGTGATAGCAATAGATTAAGACATCTCATCGCTTTGAATGGTATTAAATTTAATTGTAGTCTCTTGAGTGCGGCTTTTACGAACACCATGATGAATGTAATCGATTTTTACCCTTAATGTTTCAGTTCGAAAGTTCTCTAAATCTGTTGTATAAGATTGTGGTACCTAACATACTCTCCTCTATACTTAATTTTCCAGAACTTAGCACTTTAAACAAATTAAAGCATATTTTATAGGTACTAAAAAACTATTCAGAATTTGGGAAATAAAGTCCAAACAAGAAAATAAAAAATGCATAGATCATACTGAACATGTCTTTTCAACAAATTATGATATTTAATTGAAACAATCTCCTGTCTATCAAATATAGTCCATCATTAATTATTTTATACCTTTTAAATATTCAATCATTATCACATTTACATGGTGACTTACTTGTTTTACAGATGGCCATACTTTGGTAGAGTCCTTAAGCATAATGCACTATTTGGAAGAAACAAGACCTCAAAGACCTCTGATGCCTCAAGACTGTTTTAAACGTGCTAAAGTACGAGAAATATGCGAAGTAAGTCCTGTCTTTCATCTTTTTAAATGCTACAGCATAGCCACGAAGTACTTATGTTACCACTGGCCCGTGCCCAAGCAGAGAATAACGCAGCGCAGACCCTGCGTTATTTTGTTATTCGGTCGCTCTGTTATTCGGGTGGGAGTACAGTAGTTAAGGTGCTATCTCATGATTTCTGTTGTCGCGGGCGAGAGTGCGCCGCAGGTTTGCCAAACGTATAAGGACTCTAACGTTCGAGATTTAGCAGTCTCTATAGATGATACGAAGTAAATAGAAATCTCGTACCCTTTGATATGAGATTTGAATAATGTCGACAGTTTGTGTCATGTACACAAAACAAAAATATCATCAGAAAGTAAGTCAATGTCCAGTCCACAAAGGGTCGTCTTAGTAAGTACAGATTCATGATACCATCACTAAATGCTTCTTTATTCGTTGCCTGGGGTAATCCTGGAATCTCTGCCAGATTTATATTGACGCTTTATGTAATAAAGCAAAAGCGGCACATTACACTTTCTTCTATATCCACCTTGATAACGGAGACATGAATAGAAGCTATCTCAACTATCTATAAAGATGTATACAACTTTTTTTCTTCTTCTATGTTTAATATTATTACTTAATTTCTAGAAACCGACTTGCTGTATGTTCTCGATTCAAATTACAAAAAAAAATCTAGCCACGCTAATACCATAAGAACAATTCAGCATAAGACAACCTTGGCGCGCAGCCAGGCGGGTGCACGCGGTCACAGACAGGCTGCGCCTTGATATTTACCGACAGGGTCATCGGATATGACTGTTCCCACGGCCTGTGCGCCAATTGTGCTAAATCTCGAACGTGGCAATCTTGCGCGGTGCGGCCTCGCCCGCGACAACACAGATCGTGGGACAGCACCTTTATTTATTTATTAGATAGATATATTAGCAATTATATTTTAAGTCCTTACCTTATTGCCCCGTAATGCTGCCCCATATGGCTGCATAATGTATCGTATTTGTATTTTTTTAAAATTATATACAATTCGTATTCCAGGTAATATCATCAGGAATCCAGCCCCTGCAGAACCTTATAGTTTTGATACATGTAGGCGAAGAAAAGAAAAAGGAATGGGCTCAGCATTGGATCACCAGAGGTTTTAGAGCTGTCGAGAAACTGTTATCATCATCCGCTGGCAAATATTGTGTGGGCGATGACATTACACTGGCCGATTGTTGTTTGGTACCTCAAGTTTTTAATGCGAGAAGGTAATCATTAATACTTAAATTATATTTACAATTATATCAATCTTAGCTTCATTTTTAATTTCACAAAAAAGGTGCTGTTGGTTCTGGCTGCATCTACCGCTGTTAGTTACACTTACCTTTGATTACATATCTGGGTTATGCGTGTAAATGTGATGGAAAAGCACTTTAATCGTTTGAACACAAAGAAAAAACTATATAATTGCATTTTTCATTTATATAATTTATTTATGACCATGGATACAAGTCCTTCAGTCGTATACATAAATACAAATCTTAATCTTATTTTTTTTTATTTTTACATTATAATGTCGGTGCACAGTGTTTTATGGAACCAAAAAAATTTACGTGTTCAGGTTCTTACATAAATAGATTATTTATAACCTAAAAAAGGCATGAGTTCAAATTACAGAAGTCTAACTCAAATACTTTTTGAGAAAAAAAATCATGAACTTATCGTGACCTTTGACCTATGAAATCTAGAATATTTTTTTATAAAGTGAATATTAACAATATATTTTTTTAATAAATATGTGTCAATCGGGCATAATCAGAGGCGTATAAACGCGTTTCTTCAGCTTAAAAAAATGCATTGGTTTGGGAGCAGCATTTTTTTTTGTATTTCGTATTTATTGTTTTTTCTCCCTAAAAACGAAAAAGTGGAACCTAGAACTTAGATAGAAATAAACCTACGGATGTGGTCTATCATACATAAATAAGCCACGTGTCACTTTTGCGGCGTTTAGAAGATATTAATTTTTAAATTTTTATGCTAGGGTTGACACGGAGTGTTTTATAGAACCAAAAATATTTACACCTTAAGGTTTTTGCATAAATCAATTATTTAAACCCTAATAAAGGCAAGAGTTCAATTCCCAGATCACTATTTTAAGTAAAAAAAAGATATGAAGTAGCAAAGTTTTTGAAATTTGCGCATGAAAATATTAACAATTTAATTTCCTCAAAAGACGGTTCCATATCTGTCCATGAGATATTTGCCACTTGCTAAGGAATTATTGATGGCATAATTTTGTAATTTTAATTTATTTATAAGTGTCCTAGTTTCTAAGAGTTTTTTTAAATTTCGATTTTTAATTTTTTTCTCCAAAAATCGGCAAAAGTGGAACCTGGATTTAGTACAGAAAGGTTCTATAAGCCAAGTTCTACCACCCATAAAAAAATCAAGTTTCACTTTTGCGGTTTTAAGAAGTTGTGACAGAATTTAGATAAAGGTCAACTTTCATGATCTAGGGTTGAAAAATATGTCCGTTTTTATAGTTGGCACCCGATGACAGTAACAGTTCATAAAATCCTCATGCACGGTGAAGAAATTATTGCGTCCAGTGCACTGGCCATCGGTATGCTATCTGAACAAGCAGCTGAGTCCCGAAATAAATTCTAGCGTTCAGACAGAGAGCATCATTGCCGAAAAATGAACAGGAGAACCACAATGACGGACCTCTTTCACCGTGCCCTAGAATCATCAGACCCGTTTATTTCTATGGCAAATATCAGCCAACGTCGAAAATATTCTAAGCGATTTCCCTTGCCTTCAGCTGCTTGCGAGCTCTTACAACCAATTGATGCAGATCGATTGCCGTTATTCGAAGCAGAGGAAGATGCTGAAGATGAAGATTTTTCGAACGTCGCAAATGAAAGCAACCTAGAATTATTAAACGAAGATGATTTATTTGTATAAAGTTAAAGTAGAGGTGTTGCATAAAGAAGGTGCCGGCAGGTGATGACACTATCCTAGATTGATTTTAAATGTGAATGAATTTCTAAATCCAAAATTTCATCACAATCGTTAGATCCGTTTCCGAGAAACCAATTACATACCAATATATTTATATAGGTACATACAATAATTGCTCGTTTATAGTATAGGATGTGTGTTAAATTTTTTCAAACAACATAGTTTATTTTTTCGTTGCCATTTAGCGTGTAAGGCAAAATTAAAATGTGGTCGTCAAAATTAAAACATAAAGTATTCCTACATTATCACATCTACATTAGGTAGGTAGTATATGTAAGTATATTGTATTCGTCTATAAGTACAACACTTATTCAATTATAATATAATATAATTTATTCAATTGATTGACGGTATTAATAACAAAAAAAAAACCATTTTCATTTAACTCATAGTTGACCTTTGTGGCAACCCTAGATCATGAAAGTTGACCTTTATCTAAATTCTGTCATAACTTCTTAAAACCGCAAAAGTGAAACTTCATTTTTTTATGGGTGATAGAACTTGACTTATAGGAACCTTTCTGTACTAAATCCAGGTTCCACTTTTGCCGATTTTTGGAGAAAAAAATTAAAAATCGAAATTTAAAAAAACTATATTTCTTGGAAACTAGGACACTTATAAATAAAATAAAATTACAAAATTATGCCATCAATAATTCCTTAGCAAGTGGCAAATATCTCATGGACAGATATGGAACCGTCTTTTGAGGAAATTAAATTGTTAATTTTTTCATGCGCAAATTTCAAAAACTTTGCTACTTCATATCTTTTTTTTTACTTAAAATAGTGATCTGGGAATTAAACTCTTGCCTTTATTAGGGTTTAAATAATTGATTTATGCAAAAACCTTAAGGTGTAAATATTTTTGGTTCTATAAAACACTGTGCGGTGTGACGTATTCTATTGTTTCTTGGAGTTGTTGGCACGAAATGTATCGAGTTGGTTTTTTCGATAAGCTTCTGTGAGGTAGTCAACACTACAATAAAGTTCTCACGTCCACTTGACCGGAATAGCGTATATTTTAAAGATTGCACTAATTCTTCAGTTGCGTAGACGGTTGTAACACAAAATCACACCAATTTTATTTCACAATGACCACTATGAACGAATTTAAGAATAATTAAAATAAGACGCCAACCACACTCTATGAAATTCCGCGAAAAAACAATATAATTGCATGAAGGAGAGTCTTATTAGCTATAAAAACGGTCCTTTCACACAAGGAAAAAAAATACAATTACATGGAGAAGCTATTGGCCATGTGGGTAATCTTATGTGGGCGGTCTTTTCACTAGAAGCGTTATCTGCCAGACAACCTTTCATGTATAGAATAAGTAAAAGAGGAGGGTAGAGTATCACAACTTACATTAAATCAATATAATAATTTTACTCAAGAAATAAAGGGTTTTCTTGAAAGACAGACGCTAGGTGGCATCACTGAGCTGAAAGGTATACTTAACCGTCGAATCTCTTATGTCGTGTATGGATCAATTTGAATGCTCGTTCGATTAGTTTGAGCAAAAAACTTCATACAAAAGACCTCTTGTCACAGTGGTGCCAACTGGTTGCCTTAATTTTCCTAAACACCCTCGACATACTTAAATAAACTTACATAAATTCAAATTATTTTTGACTTATTACATAAATGTGATCATCATTATCAGCCTATTAATGTCCCCACTGCAGGGGCATAGGCCTTCCCTGTGTATGGAATAGGGAAATTGGTCCATGACCCGCCACGCCGCGCGGGCCCAGTGCGGATTGGTGGGTGCCAACGTTGCAGATACAGCCGGGACTAACGACTTAACGTGCCTTCCGAAGCACGGAGGAGCACGAGATGATAAATTTTTGGTCACCGACCACTGCGAAAGTTGCTTAACTTCAACGATCGCAACCGAACGCGCTAACCTTTGTGCCATCGATCTCCTCATATAAGCTGCATTAGAAGTAGGGGCATCAATGTGATTTTGTTTATTAATACAGACATCTTTGATGATCTTTGATTGACGAGCTTCGAAGCCGAGTGGTTTGTACGCCGAGTTTCATTTTAAATACTTGTGTGATGAATACGAGCATTTGTACTATAGTCATGGATGTTTTATACATGTATTTCTATATAAATATACTTATATAAGTACAGTATATTGTATTCTATCCGTTACCCTAGTATCCCATGACACAAGCCTTATAGTGCTTACTTTGGGGCTAGGCTAATTGGTGTGGGTGTTGGAAATATTTATTTATTTTATTTATTTATCTTTCAGGTTTCACGTTGACCTTCGACCGTTCCCAATAATATTGCGTATAGATCGCGAACTAGAGAATCACCCGGCGTTCCGTGCGGCTCACCCTTCCGCTCAGCCGGACTGCCCCCCCGAAGTTGCTAAATGAATGTCGCTCTTATTCCATTGGGATTAGGTCGCAAATTCGAACGTCCTTGTATGTACACTCTTCTATCAGCAAAACGATGGTGATATGTCGTAAATGACGTCTCAATTAAGAGTATGAATCTTACACTAGTAGACCATTTTTACTTCAAATTAAGTTAAGAACAAGATTAACCTGTTCCACACATTATTTCATCTTTATCAATTGTTTAAAGTCAACACGAGATAGAATGAGGCTTTAACATGTGCAAGTGGACTTGCACCAAATGATGTATTTGTTAAAGAATTTGCGACATAAACTCAATTTATTTATACGATAGTGGAAAGGAAGCGAATTTTTTCAAAAGTTTTACACGATATTTAATATGTATTTTTACACAGCGAGGCGTAATTTGCCTTCAACTTTCGATACCGATTTTATGCATTTTTGTGTATAGATAAAATTATTTTCTGTTTAGAAGATACTTATGGACAAAAACGCCTTTTATATTTAAAATATTTTGGTTTCCGTGATTCCTAAAAACTTTGTGCCGGTTATTTTTTGAATATTTTGTACTAAGCATAGTAAATTTAGAATGCGTAAAGTTCATTGAAACTGGATTTTCTCAAATACATATTACTAAATATTGTACAGACTGGTCATGTTACCCAAACCGCTAAATTTATCCAAACGACTTAGAGCTTTATGTTACTTGATTTACGATACCAGTACGATACGATACCAGTCTATTGAGAAATTTTGTCAGTTTGTGATATAGTGGTAGTAGAATGTTTCCGCGGCATATTCGAATTGTTTTTTTACTGAAATAAAATACATAACAGTCAACGAATTAGCAATGACATTATGAAAGATGAACAGCGTTAAAAAGTGGTGATTCCACGCAAACTGCGATCAAGACGGCGGTGGCGGTGCGAAAAAAGTGCGATCAACACGCGATCAGTCTTATCGTCGCGCTTAGTGACAAACGCTCGCGTCATATATGAGTAAAATCCAAGAAAAAACTAAATTTTTAAAGGACCAAATCATTTTTGGAGGTCATCCTCCTTAGACGTTTAGTTATGAAAAACACTGAAAGAAGAAAGTAAAAAGCGAACTAGTATAATTTATTACAAAAAAGAATATATTTTTTTTCTCACGCGACAATAATATGGATGATGTATAGAAAAATATTGTTGTCAATAATATCTACGCCGCGCGAGCGTACGCACTCGCTTGATAGAAATTTCTGTTCACTGTTACTTTATTTAATTTACCCTTAGAATAATAGTTTACTTGTTAATTATTATTCCATGTTTTACTCAATGGGGAAGAAAACTGACAATTCTCACCGCTAGAGGTGCTAGGTGTCGAACATTACCTCTCAAAATAGGTTGGTACAAAGAGTTTTGAAATGTACATTTATATTTTTTTTATCGTAAAATCACGGTAATAATATCATCGTGGTAAAATGGTGCGTTGTGTGGTAATTTGTTGTAAAAAATGTATTAAGCTTTTGCGTTTTCTCCGCCATTAATGGGTAGCCGAATTAATTAGCAGAGATTTGATTCGGTAAAGTATTTTATTTTATCTGCGCACGTGTCGCGTTAGTATATAAGTTTAGTGGTATGAGTTTCTAACAATGTCTTAGCGGCCTTTGTAAGAGAGTTATTATGCTTTCATATCATTTCTTATTCGTTGACAACAATATGAAAATATCCACTTTAAGTCGAATCTACAAACTTTACCAATGATATATCAAATACCATAATATATTTAATAGCCTTAAAAAGTTATTAGTCCGTCAGTTTAGGATGATTGCTATTGCACTGAGCGTTGTTCGCCCCTGAACAAATATTTAAGGGCCAAATAATTTATTCAAGAATTTTTGTACTATTTGTAATTTTAGAATAGCTACTTCTATAGAAATGTTGCCTAAATGTAATCAACATTCCAGATATTATAACCTTTTCCAAAATGCGAAGTAAGAAAGTAAGGGCGATATGAAATAACATTAATTCGAGTCGTCGAAATTGAAAATGCTCTCGCCTTTGTTTTATGAACAAACAATAGAATTTATAAGTATATATAAAGTTAATTTCCGATACGTGATGATATTATCTAATGGGATGCTGTATTATATTTTTTAAGTTTGATATTCAAATCAATTACTTATTCTGAATTGTATTTTTTTGCAAGTTTTAACATAAGTTTAAGTGTATTATTAACCTGTACTGTGCCATTTTACTACCATAGTAATCAAAATAAGTTCTGTTTTCGGAATAAAAATGTCTTTAGATTTAGAAAAGAAATTTTTGTTTAATGTTTTGTTGGTGAATATTGCCTTTGTTTTTATTATGTAGTCTTAAAATTTGGGTAAAATAAATTTTACATTTTCGTTCAACATGGCTTTTATTATATTCTTTCAATTCTAATACCCTACCCTATTCCGTAGAGCAGGGGTGCTCAAACGATCGATCGCGATCGACCGTTTAATTAACCGTTTAACCGTAATATATGCTACGGTACACCCTACCCAAAGAGTAAAGTAAGTATACCAATGACCAATCGTGTATGGAAGACAACCTTGCATCGCACATACTTGCAGCCTCTCAGAGTCGATCGTAAGTAGTCTTAAAAATTTGAGGTAGATCCCCAGCAGTTCAAGTTTGAGCACTACGGCGTAGAGCCTTCGATAAGGGGGGCAAACTTGCACCCTGTGAAGTACTCCCACCATACCTGAGCCCTCTATGAAGGGCCGAAAGTTTAGGGCAGTCAAAAAATTCACAACCATGTAATCACACCATGCAAACCGGCAGATCAATATTTTGTTCCCAGAACCGTTACGTGAACCCTCAAGTAGCTTCTATTCAAAAGAAAGAGACCACTCTAAGATAGTGTTAGGTAAAAGTGAGATTTTCTAAGGCGATTGTGACACTGCCATGCACTACGCTGCGGGGAACGTGGCAGTATGAGAATCGCCTAGGATGGAGGTTATTTCAATAGGACGACGAGGGCGTTCCAAGTCAAAAGGAAAGTCGGCAGTAACTGATATATTATGGTTTATTAAGTAGCGAGATATAAGTAAAAAAACATCTTTCGTTTCCCTATACCCCTTCATCATTTTCTAAGTTTGTCTAGATGACGCCCCTGGCCAATAGTTTCAAAGTTTGTAACTCTCATAAAGCAGCGGTAAATACTGGTCTTGACTTTGGGGCACGCGAGCGACCGTTACATTGGCTACGTTCAATCAAAATCATTAGAATCTGAACGCAGCTATAAAGTTTAATGACGTTCGACAGAAGTGTTGTCAGTATAAATTACCCTACCCGAGAAGATCGAAAGAAACCATTGCTACCAGTCTATATTAAACTTTTATTTTATTATGATAAACTATGAAATAAATTTGTAAGTGACGGTTTTATTGGTATAAGTATTGAATCAAAGAGAAAATCCATTTTGGGTGTAAAATATGATACAGAGTATTAACTTAAGTGGATTTTAAGACACGCTAAGTCGTTGGTCTCGGCTTTATCTGCAAGTGTTAGCACCCACTAATTCGCACTAGGCCCACATGGTGGGTCATGGCTCATTTTCCCTATTCCATTCATAGGGAAGGCCTGTGCCGCAGCAGTGGACGCAATAATAGGCTGATGCTAATTAAATACAAAATTAATACAATCAAAAGTAATTATTCACAGACAGAGTATTCCGTGATAAATATACAAAGTCCATCGATTTATTTTACACTTTTTATAAATATTTGTATATATCATTTAAATATTACTTACAACAGTAGTTACCTACACCACAGCGTTCAGCTATCACAGCCGCACTCAGATAAGTCAATTAACTTTTAAGCTCAACAAAAGTTGCTGTTACTTTCTTTGCGATAGCAAAATAAAGAATGACGACTTAATGAAGCATATGATTAATTGGACGTTTCTGAGTACAATACCTTTAGTAGGTTTTTTTTTATTTTATCCCAACTCATATTAAATTATGATATAAAAGAAATTGCTGCAATTATATTTGATACTGATAGTAGCTACTCCAGCACTAAGCAGTGGAAATTAACAATGATTCGTAAAAGTTGATAAATCACACCAATAAGCCAAACTGAGCAGGCGAATCACATGTGTTGTTTACTATTATGTAGACATGGGCGTTTTTGGTTTTGAACGCAAACGGATATTTATCAGATTTCGGATTTCAAAATCGATTTTAAAATCCGTTTTTAGATATCCGATTTCAGATGTACCGAACTTAGCCAGATCACTAGTTTGTGTTATGATTTGGTTTTATTAGCTAACGACAATCACAAACAATTAATTGTAGGAAGCAAGGATACTCGTAGATTTTCGCGATTTTCCTTCATGCTTCAAATCTAGGCTTAGGACTAGCAGAAAATTTATGTTTACGGTTAAGAGTAAAACTTTTGCGGCGCATTTAAAAATCGGCTTTTATACAATGATTTCTTTTTACATATTTTTTTAGTATTTTTTTTGTTTTTCTGTTTGTTTTTATTATTTTTCAAACCATTTACAAAATTAAACATAATTATTTCAGGTTAGCGTCCAAAAATGTAAGTTGCTCGACTTTTGATGTTTTCAGACGACATATCTTTTCAGTGATAAATAATCCCGCCTCAGAGAAGAGTAATAGATTTCCGTAAACAGCAAATCGAAATCGGACTTCCGAGCACGAAATCTGACTTCCGAAAACGAAAGCACGAATTTCGAATCCGATTTACATACGTTTTGGTTCGGTTAGATTTCTAAAATCGGATTTTCTTGTTGAAAAATCGTTCGGTATCGATTTGTGTTTGAAATCGGATTTTGGATTCGTTTTGATATATCGGACGCATGCCTACTATTATGTATGTTTACTAGTATCAGCATCCGTCGATAGAAACGATGAATATGGGTAATATTAATGTTGGACTTGGCAACACTATACTCAACTGTCAAATGTATCGAACGCTTTCGTTCGCTCGGTTGTTGCTTGCTTTGGTCGGCGAGTCGATGTCTCAGCATCAACTGTTTATGAGATTTATTGTATTGTGTATTGTTGTGTTGTAGTAAGGTCGGCTTCGTATTCTTACTAGAACAATGAAAGCTCCTCCCGTGCTATGTTTAGTGGTTAAATAACAATGTAAATCCCTGCTGACGATAGTGTTGTGGTGTGAAATACATTGTGTTTGGTGTTAATCTACAATGACCGAGAAAAATAAATCGGAAAAGATGACTAATGCATCGAAACCTGTTCCCATGAAACTTTTTGCAGCCTGGGAAGTGGACAGGACGCCATCCAATTGCATTCCCAGGTAAATTCAACGTTAAGTTAGCTAGTTTCATTTACGATTTGTAGATAGTTAAGTTTCGTCTTTTGTATCCGAAAGTCGGTCGTATAATGCTGTAGTTGTTTATTAGTAACTATGCAAAATGCGAGCATTAATTAACGAACGACCCGCCTTATAGAGCAACCGGCGCCTTATCTAATTTGGTCAGCTTTCATTCGAGTGTAATAAAGCCATTCATCTGTAATCAAACGAATTTGTGGCTTATAACGGCTACGCGTATTCAAACAAACAATATCTCATTATTTACTTTAACTACTACGAATACGCTTTTTTACTTCAGGTTGTACTGGGTTTCTAAAAAGTCACTGCAACAATACTAATGAATTGAAATCCACGGTAATAAGGTTTATTCGGTCAGAGTATCGCCTTTCTACAAGCAGCATAAGTACACTGTTTAAATATTTGTATTAGTCATTACTTTTTTATATTTACATAAATAACAAGCAAATAAGAGAACAGTTAATTACCTAAATCAGTGTTTTCTGTGATATTTAACTATATGTAGCACTTGATTTGCATGAAAAAAATTTTATTAGTCCATTGAAGGGGCTTGTAATGGTAACTGTTACAAAAAACTATAACACAATGTTAAAAATGAGTCATTTCCCCATTTCCCTTGGTCACTTCATGATTTGAGAATGATACTAATTAAATCTATGTTTTTTTCTTATTTTCTACTACTTCATAGAAGGTCTTGCAGAAAATAAGAAAGTTGTGCTGAAATTTTAGAAAACTTATCTTGCTAAGCTACAATTGGGTTTTATATTTTTGAGACAGGCTGCAGGGCCCTGGGATGAGCATTCATCTCAAAAATTCTCCATCATGCAAATGTTCAAAAAGAGCATGAACTTATGTGTTATAAGAGTACAAGGAAATTTACCAACATATAATATTTAAATATATTGCTAATTATTATGTATGTTGCCAGCACTTCACATGGCTATTTGTATTCACAATTTGTAAAACTTTACAACAGTCTAATGCATGAGGTGCCTAAAAAAGATATGGACCAGACAACATAATTTCCCTGTGCCACATTAAAGTGTTGATACCAGACATAAAATAGACAAATATGGTGAAAAATTGTTCTGATTGGCATGTGGGTGTTATGTTCAGGATGTGTCTGATTTGAAGGAACGGCAAATTGTCACTCTTTGATAACGCTTGGAACACAAGGCCACAGGAGGAATTATTCAATTGAATATGTCTATGTTGAATATTTCTATGTCTCGAAACAATCTATAAAGATGTCTTGTGACTGTTATTTTTAGCTGGGTCAGTTGTTTAGTGTGTTATGCACTTGATCTTGGCAAGTTCCCTGTTGCCAAGATCAAGTGCATAACTCAGACCTCTTTCTATATGATGTCCCTATATTCATGAGGAGAAATGTGCTTTAAAAGGATGGCACATTATTATGCTGATGATGATGTGATGTTTCTATCAATTGTTTTTTTCTTTTTGGATACAAAAATCCATGTTAAATCCTTTGGAGACATTTTTAATGCAATATTAGTAAAAATTAGTGTTAGTCTGAGATTTTGTATGTATATTATGTAAATCTGCAATAATTATGTACCTCCCTACTATAATTATTATATTTAAAGTTGGTTTATTGTAAATATTATAATTGTAGTATATAAAAGCCTAATTGTTGTCATATACCTACCAATGAAACATATCAACAATTTACGATTTACTAACAAAAATGTAATTGCTTTAATTTTTTTATAGTTACAGCACTATTGTATTCAATTTCTTGTAGCATTCTCAGGCTACAAGAAATTGACTAGACAGTATTATGTTCATAAATTATCTATTTTCTATTTTGTTGCTCCAATGATAATAATATTGTTTGTTTGTGCAACTTGTTATCAGCAGAGAGGTCAATGCTAAATTAGACACTGAGAGTTGAATGCACCTGGAAGCCGTAATCTCGTTTGTTATTAAGTATATAGGTTTGATTGATGCATTTATAATGGCTGCTACCAGTTTGCCTTTCATGTGTAAATAATTGACAATATTAGATTACATAATATATTATACA